TCAGCCTGCACTACATAGTGAGACCTTGTCTCAAAAACAAAAGCAAAGTCCCTTCTTGTAGACCAGTTGTTTTGTAGTAGATCCTGGTTCACAAAAGGAAGGCAGGAGCCCACTGGTCCCTTGTCTCCTCCCACCTCAGTTCTGTGCCACATCGGGGACCTTGTGCACATGTGTGTGGATACCCTAAACTGTCTTCCCAAGCTCTGTCACCAGCACAGCCCCCTGGCTACCCGACTACCTGCATGGTCTGGCCTTGGGTATATCCATCATCACAGAATGTGGCCAATAGCGCCAGATTTCCTGTGTCAGACAACAGCCTGTCTTACTTTAATCTCACAGTTTGGGAGTGTGTGGACTTAGCTAGGTGGGCTCACACAGATCTTTCCTAAAGTTGCAAGTGAAAGATGACTGAGGTTGGGGTCATTTCCGAAAGTTCCTTACTTGCTGGCCTTGCAGTGGGGACCCTTGGGTGTCTCCAGCCCCACTTGACTTTGACATGGTAGCAGCAGGATGGCCCCACTTTGCAGCTATCAGCTTTGAAGCAGAAGCTGGGGGAAGCCTAGTGGCTTTGGGGACTAGCCATGGCATCACAAGGTAGCACTTTCAGGGTGGTTGGTTGAAAGTGAGTCACTGAGGCCCACCACCCTGGGGGAAAATGTCAGAGAATTGGCCCCTGGCCCAGGATGGAGCTCATTTGCACTGTGGCTTCTTGGTGTGTGAGTACCTCAAGGTTCTGTCTCTGCTCACACCACAAAGGAGGCCACAGCACAGGCCGGGCTCTGGGGACCAAGTGACTTAGGAATTGCTTAGGGCGATCCCAGAATCAGGGCGGAGTCCTCTCTGTGCCTGGCCCTTCCAGCCTGATATCAGTTTGTGCCCCAGTGCATTTGCACACCCCACCCCACCTACAATGCCCTGCTGCCCACCACCCCCCTCTCCATGTCTCTAGAGTCTCTCATACTTCCTGGATGCCACTTCTGGCCTTGCTAACCTGGGGTACAGAAGCAGAAGAAATGGCTACTGTCCAGGAGCCAGGGCTCTTGGGGACACAGACACCTCTTGATGATTGGGGATGAGGGCTCATGGGAGCCTAGCCATAGGATGGACTTGGAAGTGTCTGTGTGTCCAGAGCAGCCAAGCTCGAGCCAGCACAGGGGGGCGCCTCTCAAAGAGGTCATGGCAGGGGCTGAGCAGAGCCCACTTCCTGTCACCACAACCCAGCTCTCTGTATGGTCACAGATGGGCTGCGCTGGCACCGGCCCGAAGGACTTCCATGTGTATGTGTGCATAAGTGTGTGCATGAGTATGCAGGCTGCTGATTGCCTGCTCACCTCAGGAGCAGAGGGGTGCTTTGTCACCCCAGTTGCTCAGTCCTTCAAACTCCACCAGGCAGCCACTTTCATTTAGCTCCAGAGTAGACCCCCAGGGCATGCAGCCTGCTACCCGACTGCTATATGCAGCACTAGGATTGAACCGGGGTCTTCATGACTTTTTGTTTTTTTATCTGGAGACAGGATATCATGAAGTTATGAAGTTACCCAGTCTGGGCTCAAACTTGGAGTCCTCTTGCATCAGCTTCCAAAGTGGCTGGGATCCCAGGACTGTGCCACCATGGAGGCCTCCCAGATGTTTGTTGCGTTAAATACACATTGCACAAAATTTTAGCCATTTATCAGTGGGATCAAAACCACTCCCAGTGCCACAAAGCCATCACTGCCAACTTCTTTTGATCTCTGTCATCACTGTATCTTGCAAAACTGAAATCTACTTGGTCCTCTGCACCCCCTGGCAACCACTGCCCTCCTTTCTGTCTCAGTGACTTTCACCATATTGTGTGTCTCTTTGGTTAGAAGTAGACAGTAGTCATCCTCTTCTGCTTGTCTTATTCTGCTTTATTGGTGTCGTTGCTCATATGAGAATGTATTTCCTTTTCAAGGCTGAGTAACTTTCCACCACCTGGACCTTATAGCATATTTTCTCTACCTATTTGTTGCTAGGGACTTCAGTGGCCTCTGTATTTTGGCTTGTCGTGAATAATACTGCTATGAAGGTGGATAATGTCTTTGTGACGCTGTTTTCAATCTTTTGGGCACATACAAGTGGAATTGGAAGATCAGATGGTAATTTTATTGGGGGGGGTACTGGGAATTGCACTGAGCTACATCTCCAGCCCTTCTTAAATTTTTTATTTAGAGACTTGTTCTCACTAAGTGTCTTAAATTGCCCGGGCTGGGCTCAAACATATGATCTGTTTGCCTCAGCCTCCCAGAGTGCTGCCATGACAGCAGTGTGGCACCACACACAGCTAACCTACTTAGACCTTATGAGTTCCCTAGATCTTTGTTGGGTGTCCACGAAAAACCCACGGGGTTCCCAGGAGGGAGGGTTGGGGTATAGGGGGTGGGCACAGCTACTGGCCTTGTGGAACTCACACTCAGCTGGAGACCCCAAGCAGGAAGCACGAGAGCAGGTCATTTGTGACTGCAGCAGGGCAGATCCCCTAAGGGACATGGGAGGAGGAGATGAGGTATGCATGCCAGGTGTTGCTGCTTGCTTCCTGGGCATGGGGTGGGAGGGAGGAGTATCCCAGCTGTCCCTGAAGCCACCCCTGGTCCCAGGTGGGGCTGGACCTGGGCAGACCTAGAACCCCCATCAGTATCAGGCGACCGGGCAGATTACCTGGTCTCACAGGGTAACAGGGCAGATGCTTCTCCATCTCAGTTGCCTGGGCTCGGCTCAAACTTGCAGTCCTCCTGTCTCAGCTTCCCAGAGTGCTGAGGGTATAGGTGTGTGCCACCATTTCTGACTCCCCTGAGGTTTGTTTTTGTTTTTGTTTTTTCCTTTTGTACCAGGGATTGAACTCATAACCTTGAGTTTGCCAGGCAGGTGCTGTACCACTGAGCTAAATACCCGGCCTTACCCCTGAGTTTTTTTAGAAGCAGAGATGGGGCTAGAAATGGAAATCAGAAACTTGGAAAAGTTTATAACTGGCACTGGAGGAGGCTGCAGCACAGGAGAAGCTGGACAGGCAGGACAGGGAGGAGAGAAGGACCCAGCCCCAGGGCCTGCCCCTTTCCTGGTCAGTGTCCAGATGGCTGAGGTCTCAGAGCTATGTCTGTGTTCCCTCCTCCAGGAACTTGTTTCTGTTTATCTGTGAACATTGGCACCTATGAACTGCTGGTTGCACTACACGTAGCGTGGTAGAGCTGATTCACCTACCTAGTCCTGGCAGACCTGACCTGGGCTCCTCCTGGGCTCTAGCATCCCAGCTGCAGTCACTCAGGCCCCTGATGCTCCCCCAATGCGCCCTTTAGACCCTGGCTCAGGACAGAGGATTCTTAGGGCCCAGAGAGCCGGGACATGGCCTCAGATCATGTGCGGTCCCCAGCCCACTGCTCCCTGGCCTCCCATTTAGTCCTTGTCCCTTCCTAAATAGATTAGGACATTGCCGGAAGAAGCCAGTGCAGTCAGTGGCCAGGAGGCCAGGGCTGAGCACCGTCTGGTGCCTCCTGCTCTGCACTAATTTGATTTGGACCTCGCAACTGGACGCTTGTGGCCAGAGGTTTTCCGGGGAAGGTTGGGGCAGTGACCGGGGGTGACTAGGAGACATGGTCCCCAGGAAGCAAACCTCTTAGTGAGGAACCACACTGCAATGCCTACGTAGCCTTCAAGCCACAGAACAGCCCAGGGCATAGCCAGTGGCCACCTCTTGGCCTTTAGCATGTCTCTGGATCTCAGACTTTTATGAAATTGCAATCTACAGGAGGAGCTGCTTTATGTTTTGGCCAAATGCTGACTCGGCCACTTCTTTCAGTCTTTACCCCAGCCAAAGGGCAGACTGGAGTCTCATCCTAAACCCTTGTGGCCATTTCTGTCACTGAAGTGGATACTTCTCAGCCCTGGTGTGTGATGCCCTCTGTCCCTTGCTGGGACTCTGGCTTCCTGACACACCAGAGGCCAGGCTATGTCTAGGACTGCACGCCTTCACCATGCACAAACGTGGGACATGAGGCAGGCTCCAGGGACTGTGGTGGCTGCAGAAGACCCCGGGGGCTTGATGCACATTAGATACCAGGCCTCAGAATCCTTCTCAGCACTACGCTGCAGGATCCCTGACAGGGGTTGGGGGTAGGCAGAGTGGGACCCATGGCTTCCGCCCCACTGGCAGCCCCAACTGGGCAGAGGCCTTCCTCAGGGTGCCCCATTGAGGGACCCAGGCTTCATCCTGCAGAATCTGCCTGTGCCCCTGAGGCTGAGCCTCACAACCAGAAAGTAGGTGGAGACCCAAAGGCCTCGGCCCTCTGCCTGATCCCCAGGGGTTTGTGGCTTGGTACAGAGCCATGGTGACATAGGAAGGGCCCTGTGGGAGGCCAGGGAGGGGATCGAGCCGGTCATGCTGGGGATGGGGTATTCAGGTGCCTTCCTAGCAGGCTTGACAGTGAAAAGTGAGGGGACACTTAGCAGATGACAGTAGCCCAAGAAGGGCCATGGAACGAAAAGGAACCAGACCTGTAAAATCAGGAAGGCCTCTAGTGTGTTTACGGGGCAGAAAAATTCAAAATACCTGTGAGTGAGGGTGTTTGGGGCTAGAGATGGGAGTGCAGAGCCGATGTGGGCAGCAAACACCCCCATGGTGGTGTGAGCAGCACAGGGCTGTAGCCTGAGCTGTGTGCACTGGGCCTCCCTGGCGGTCTGGTCTTGGTGTTGAGCTCTGTGTGGGGGTGCAGATTGGGGTGCACCAGGCCCCTGCATGCGAGACTTCATGCATACAGGTCTGTAGAGGCTCACCATGAGTCTGCACATGAGGTTCTTGAGTGACAGGAAAGTCAGTCCCTGACCATGCCCACTTTGGGGAGAGCGAGCTATACTCCGCACACTTCAGGAATGCCACGTTGGTCCCACCTACCAGGAAACAGGGCTCCTCCCCCAAGCCCCGTAGGTTGGGATGAGTGGCCTCCTGGTGTGCCCACCACCCACCTCTTGTCCTTGCTCCCCTCCAGGTGACCATGGCCTTGCTAGGGAAGCGCTGTGACCTCCCTGCTAACGGCTGCGGGTCTGACCACTGGAACTCAGCCTTCGCCCGCAAAGACGAGATCATCACCAGCCTCCTGTCTGCCTTAGACTCCATGGTGAGTGCCCGCCTGCCTGGCCCTTGGGCCACTAAGCACAGCCCTCTTCACGGTGCCTCTGTGTCTGCAGCAGGATCGTGATACCTTGTCAAGGCAGGAGGCCCAAGCAAGGTCCAGTTCTTCAAAATGTAGCCCTGGAATAAGTGCTACCTCCCAGCCTTCACCCCGCTGGCCCTGGTCCTTCTGGGTTACCTCTTAGTGGTCACATCCCATCCTGCAAGGTCACAAATCTCTCCTAAGAAGTTCCCTGGGGGCCGCGGTGTGGAGGGTGGTTCCTTAGGAAGCTGGAGTCCTGGACGTGAAAGGAACAGCTGGGGAAGTGGCCCAGTGGTACAGTGCTTGTCTTGCATGCACAAGACCCTGGGTTCAGTCCCCAGCACCACCAGAAAGGAGCCATAAACCAAGTGTCGCCACAGGCCTATAATCCCAGCATTCTGGGAGGCTAAGGCAGGAAGATCACAAGTCTAGGGCAGTTTAGCAAAACAAACTTAAAAATGGCCTAAGGGTATAGCTCAGTGTGAAAATCCTGGGTTTAATTCCTAATACAGGGGCCTGGGGATTTAGCTCAGTGGCATAAGCGCCTTCCTTGCAAGCAGGCAGTCGTGAGTTCGATCCCCGGTACCGATAATGAAAAAAGACAAAAAAAAAAAAAAATTCCTAATACTACTTTTTTAAAAAGGAGAAAAAGAAAGCACAAGTCACAATAGTGTCTCAAGGCTTTATAGTCACTCTGCTGGCTGTGTCACCTGTATACTGAGGCTTATAGCACTTGATCCCTGAGGGAGGGGTGTTTCCGTCCTTTTTCTGGGGAGCTTCTATCATGAGAATGGGCCAGTGTGTAATACAGTCTCCCCAGGGCCACCTTTACACAACTGTCTTGTGTTGTGTCGTGTTTTCAGCCATATTGCTACAGTTTAGGATGATACTGCCTGGGCTCAGAAAAGGTGGCATTTTGCCTGAAGTCACACTGCATGACCAGGTTTGAATGCAAGATCCTGCCTGAGTACAATGTCAGCATGTCCCCAGGGACATAGCACCCTGTCACGGATTGTTCCTCCTGGAGGTGGCCCAAGGGCTCCCTTGGTCTGGGCCAGAGGTGGGAGACACCCCTGAGAACCTGGCCTGGGTGCCTCTGTCTCCACAGTGACCTCTGCTCAGCATCTGGCTGCACTGCCAGTTTGGCAGTGGGGATGTGGCTGATTCAGGTGGTAGTTGTGGCCAACACCAAGGCCACTGGCCACATGCTGCTACCTTCATTGATTTCTTTCTTTCTTTTTTTTTTATGATACTGGGAACTCCACCTATACTGGGCTTGAACTTGAGGTCTTCCTGGGATTACAGGCATTTGCCACCACACCTTAGCTTATTTACATTAGGTTTTGACTAGTTAAAATGAAACATATTTTTAAAAATGAAACATATACAGTCTAGCTGTTCTGTCTTACAAGTCTCATTCCCAGTGCTCCATGGCCGGAGGTGACCTGTGCCCACGATATTGGGTGGAGTGGAAAAGAACCCTGTCCTTTGCCCTAAACAGTTATTTTACCCTGGGCAGTGCTGGTGTCCCTGAGCCATCACAGAGGAGGCGGCGGCCCTGTGGTTGCCCTGGTGGCATAAACAAGAGAAGTTCCCTGCCCTAGGCCTTTACAGTTTTTCCTGGAGGGCACTTTGCGGTATGGTATTCCTGCTGGCAGTGACTTAGTCCAGGGCGCTCCTCAGCTCCTTGTCCGCAGTGCCAGGCCCTCTTCCCCCACCCTCCCAGCTTGTCCCATTCTCATGCGCATGCGGTGAGTATGTCCCCTGTGCTGAACAGGGACCGTGGCTAAGTGTCCCCTGCAGCCCCGACAGCCACTCTCTCAGGGGAAGTAACCGTGCTGAGTATTTCATTTCAGGTTAATGTTCTATAGTGCTGCAGCTGCAAAAGAGGACAGTAAGACTTTGTTTCCATCTTAGAGAGCAAGCAGTGAATATACCAGTGGGACATCTTGGGGAGCAGGTCCACTGGTCCCCTGCCACCCTCAGCTTTCTTACCAGGGCAACACCCACCTGGGGATGGCAGAAGAGGCAGATTATGGCCCAGAGAGGTCAAGAAAACCATATGCAGTCACACAGCACAGGGACTCCAGGCAAAGGACAGACTTCCTGGCAGTCAGCAAACACTAGCAGGCTTAGATAGAAATCAAGGCAGGTCTGGTGGTGTACTCCTGTCATCCCAGCTCTAGGGAGACTGAAGCACAAGGATTACAAGTTCTGACCTAGCCTGCGCAACTTAGTAACTTAATATGACCCTGTCTCAAAAGAAAAAATTTTAAAAGGTACAAAGATGTAGCTCAGTGTGAAGGTCCTGGGTTCAATGCCCAGGATTGCAAAAACAAACAAAAAACCAGCACAGATCAGGCAGGAGGTTTGTAGGAAGATGGATGGGCTGGCAACATGGTGGCCTCAGTTGTGGGTTATCCCTGTATCCTGGGGCTGCCAGTCTCAACTCTGAGCCATAGAAGGCAGCAGTGAGCCCTGTACCCATATAGGTGAGCCTGGGTTATGGCTTTTTTACCCTCACCTTGGCATTACTGGAAGCTCAAGAGAATCCCTGGTATGAACCCAGAACCCAGAGAAGGCTGTAACTTGTCCCTGTCCCTTAATAGCAGGAGGTGGCCACAGCAGGAAATAAGCCCAGAACTGCTTGAGGAGGGCTCATCCTCTCCTCCTGTCACCCGTGTTCCTCTACCCCTGGGCCAGACTCAGGTCCTCATTCATTCATTCTGCTGTGCATTCTGTGACCTGAACAGTGCTGGGCAAGACCCCTCCCCGCAGCCAGGAACTCTCAACCCCACACCCCCAAAGGGGCCTTGGGCCTGCCCAGCACCCCACTCACACTCCTGCCGCCCTCAGTGCTCCGCGCTGTCCAAGCTGAATGCTGAAGTGGCCTGCATCGCCGTGCATGATGACAGCGCCTTCGTGGTGGGCACTGCCAAGGGCCGGATGTTTCTGAGTGCGAGGAAGGAGCTGCAGCCAGACTTCCTCAGGTTCTGCCGTGAGTACCCCTGTCCGTCCTGGCCCACCCACCAGGTGTCCAGTGTGAAAGAGGAAGCTGACTGGGCTTCCTGCATGGCCACACAGCCCCTCAGCTAATCGAGAGAGTGGCTGGACCCCACCCACATTTGTGCAGAGGCCCTAGACCTGCTATTGCAGCCCACCTCCTCTCTCACCTGCATCTCTGAGCACAGGGACCAGATGCTGTAATCCACTGGGTGGCCAGGAACATAGCTCAGCATCGCAAGTGCCTGCCCGGCAAGCACAAGGTCCTGAGTTCTATTCCCCATACCAAAAAAAAAAAGGCTTACTGGGTGCCTGCATGTGAGACTCCCTGACCCCCTCAAGCTCCCACCTCCTGACATCAGGGTGGGCTCTGTCTTTGTCACGGTTATTTTTTGAGCTGCCTCCTAGAGGCTCATGGGGACTGAGGGATTTGGGCCAGACCATGTGTGGGAACCACATCGCCTTACGTGAAACAATCACCCCCATTTGTAGTTGGGAAACTGAGGCTCAGGGCCTGCATTAATCTCGGGAGCCAAACAGCCAAGGCCCGGGATGGAGGTGGGCAGACGCAATACCATTTCTTGCAGGGGGCAGTACCATTTCTTGGGGGGTGGCCGTGCCACCAAGATACATAGCATGGGCCCCCTGTTGGGGGTCTTGGATCCTCAAAAAGGCCAGCCACACAGCTCAGAGCCTGGGGTCCTTCTGCAGCCGGCAGTTCTTCCCTGCCCTAGGCCCCAGTCCTGTGTGCTGGCCCCACACTGGTCAGATACTCCTCACCCTCCAGGCTCGTGTCCCTTCCTCTCTAGTTCCTGTGGGAGGCCAGCTTCACCTCGTTGGTGAGGCGGGGCCTGGTCCCAAAGACCAGCACCAAGATGAGCACTGAGGCCCACACCTTGGACTCGAAACCACGGTCTACGATGAGATGGGAGTGATTGGAGTCAGATGTATTCCTAATCCCCAAATCCCAAACACTCCAAAACCTGAAGCCTTTGAGCACTGTAGGATGCCATGAATAGGAAATTTCTCCCCCCACCCCATGTGAATGGGCACTGTCAGAACAGGGCATGCTGAAAGTACTTTCCCACAGTGTGACCCTCAGGCTTTGTGGATGAAGAATCACTTCCGTGGTTAGATTTGAGCCCCCTCCCTCCTCGAAGTGGGGGAGTTACTTGCAAATATGATCAATCTGAGAAGAATCCCCAAGTCCAAGACACTTCCAGTGCTAAGCATTTTGGATAAGGGAGGCCCAGTCTGGACCTACTGGGTATGTGGAAGGCAGCTTGTGCTGTGCCTGGAACCTGGCTGTTCATGCTCAGTGGATGCCAGCTGCCATTGTTACTGTTCTTAGCCTCCAAATCTGGCAGCCAGGTCCCTAGGACTAGCGTTTCGGGGAAGGACATCCCCAGGCAGCGGATACATCCTTAGTGGGTACTACTGTTTCCCCAGCCAGCCCCTTCAGCTTGGCACTCCAAGCCTGTGGCTTTGCAGAAAGGGGCAGGGTGCAGGCACAGTGAGGCACTAGTGAGGTGATGGGTGTGGTAGACCTGCGTCCTGCCAGTGGGTGTGACCAATGGAGGTGGTGGGCGTGGCCATCTGCTCACTAAGTGGGGAGGTGAGGACAGTGGGCGTGGCAGAGCCCAGTGCCCAGGCCTCTGAGATGGGGCCCACACCGCGGCCTGGAAAGGGGCACCTGCTCTTCCAAGAACCAGAAAGAGCCACTATTTATAGTGCCAGGAACTCGACTGATTTATTTCAAGCTTTGTGGATCCCAAAAGAGAGCAGGCTCCAAGCTGGGCGGGGAAGGCAGAGCCATCAGGCTCTTTCTGTTGTGGCTTCTATCACGTCCCACTGACGTCCCCAGTTCCCCACATGGCCCTCAGCCTACCGTGGACCTGCCTCTTCCCAGGACGGGATAAGGGGCAGCTGTGGGTTGAAACCCCAGGTCTGAGTCAGGTGGCAGGGGCCAGGGAGTGGAGGAGCCTGCCTGGGTGTGGCCAGCGATGAGATGCACACACACACTGTGCTGGCTCTGGGCGGGTGTCTGAAGCAGGGCTCGATCACTCACTCCCCGTGCGTGAGGCTTGGAGCCCGAGCCAGGCAGGGGCCTCCCAGCCTGAAGGCTGGTTTCCAGGTGTACCTGTGGTAACCCATGTGTGTGTCCCACAGGAGGGTCCCTGTGGAAGGATGCAGAGGCAGAGTACCCCAAGAAGGTGCTGCGGGGTGAGGGCAGCGGTCGAAGCGCCCCCCGGTCCTCCCTGGAGCACGGCTCAGACGTGTACCTGCTGCGCAAAATGGTGGAGGAGGTGTTCGACGTCCTCTATAGTAAGACTGGGTCTCCTTCTCGGGCTGCTACTGGATCCTGCTCCCTCCACTCTGTCACCCACCTGCCCTGGGACCAAGGGCCTCTTCCCAAAGCATGAGTCTGATGAAGAAGTTGTGTCTTCAGCCTGTGCTCCAACAGAGGCTTACTCCAGAAGCCTTCTCCCCTGGGTTAAAGCCCCTTTGACACCTGCTGTGCCCTATTCCTCACTAGGGGGTATGTTTGCACTTTCTCGATGTCCCCAGCTTATAGTTCAGAGTCCAGAAATAGTGTGTGCTCAGAGCGTGTTTGTCAAATGACTGAGTGAAAGCTGACAGTTCAGCCAAGTCTGAGGCAGAGGGAGGAGAAGGACCTGACTTGCTCTCCCTGGGGAAGTGTCGGATTGCAGCGCCTCAAGGAGGCCCAGCCTTGACCTTCACGCTTGCTAGATGACCTTGGACCAGGAACTGCCCTCATTTACTGTTCACTTGCCCTGTTTTCCTCTCCCTGCCACAGCCTTGGGTCTGTGGAACAAAGGTCTCTGAGGAAACTGCTGTTTTGATTCCAGAGGAGGCCGAGGGAGCGGGGCACAGGAAGGCTTGTCACACGCGGCTAGCTCTGCCACCTGGGCCTGTGCTCACCACAGGCAGAGTCAGGTGGCCCTAGCAGGACCTGCAGGGCTGGGGTGACCACGTGTGTCCAGAGCCCTGGCTGTGTTACCCTTCTCTGCCCTCCATTCCTCTTTCTCCCACACTCCTCAGTCTGTCTGTCCATCTGTCTTGCTCTCTTTCTTTCTAGCACTGGGGACTGAATCCAGGACCTTCACATGGAGCTACAGTTCCAGCCCTTTTTATCTATTAACTTTTTTGTTTTTTGTTTTTTAAGATTTTTTGTTTTCTATTTTTTGGTGCTAATGACAGAACCTACGGCTTGCAGCTTGCTAGACAAGCGTTCTACCACTGAGCTAAATTCCCAGCGCCTATTTATTTACTTTTTAAACTTTAAAACAGGATATTGCTATGTTTCCTGGGCTGGCCTCAAACTTGTGATCCTCCTGCCTCAGCCTCCTGAGTGGCTGGGATTCCAGCTGTGCACTCTTGGCTCCTCCCTCTTTTTCTGAGTCCCTTCTTTTTTCCTTCTTGACATCCTCTCCTCCCTTCTCCCTTATCCCCTCTCTGTTCTTCCCCCAGCTCCTGGCCTGTGTCTCCATGCCACCTCTCTCGCCTGGTATTCTCCTTCCCAAGCCCCTGCTACAGCTCCCACTGTCCTTCCCCCAGTGTCTGAGTGACTGCCGGGGAACAGGGACCCTCAGGCCCTGGGTACAGATAGCAGGGCCCACCCAGGACTGGCTGTGCTCTGAACATGCACTGGTTAGGGAGGGGGAGACTGGTCACCCATCACCCTGTGCTCAGCCTGTGTCTTCCCCTGACAGGTGAGGCCCTGGGCACGGCCAACGTGGTACCGTTGCCCTATGAGCGGCTACTGCGGGAGCCAGGCCTGCTGGCCGTGCAGGGGCTGCCCGAGGGCCTGGCCTTCTGCCGGCCAGCTGAGTATGACCCCAAGGCGCTCATGGCCATCCTGGAACATAGCCATCGTATCCGCTTCAAGCTCAAGAGGTGAGTGGGCAGCACGGAGCTAGCCAGAGGGCAAGAGCCTGAGACTCTGGGGCCAAGGTTCCCAGTCCAGGGGCAGCGTGGGGTCAGTTCCTAGGGGACCCCTGTGTCGCAGAGGGACCACGAGAGACACGGCCCAGCAAAGGATACCAGAGACAGTCAGGCTGGGGCAGCTGCAACTGGCTGCAGGGTGGCACATGCAGAGACCAGGGTCCCAGCATCCACAGCCGCCTGGCGTGTCACACTGTACCCACTGCAAGGTTCTACTGACAGTGCTGGGCAGGTGAAGGTGGGGACAGGTGGGGGACCAGAGATGGCCATTTCAGGTGTGACAGGCCTGCAGTGAGGCCTGTGCCTTCTGGGAGGTGGGGGGCCTGAGGTCCAGAGCCCAAGTGGGTCCCCAGATGTCCCTCTGTCTCTTCCACCCAGGCCTCTTGAGGATGGCGGGCAGGACTCTAAGGCCCTGGTGGAGCTGAACGGTGTCTCCCTGCTGCCCAAAACATCCCGGGACTGCAGCCTGCACAGCCAGGCCCCCAAGGTGCACCCCCAGGACCTACCCCCCAGCGCCGCCACCTCCTCCATGGCCAGCTTCCTCTACAGCCCCGGCCTGCCTGGCCACACCATCATCCGCGAGCTCAAGCAGGAGCCTGTCGCCTGTCCCCTTGCCTCTGGCGACCTGGGTCTGGGCCTGCCAGTGCCTGAACCCAAGGCCTCCAGTGCCCAGGACTTCTCCGACTGCTGTGGTAATGCTGCTGGCCTGACTGGGTGGCTCACTGGGGTGCTTCAGGGTGGGCTTGCTCGGGGGAGGCCAGTCAAAGGTAGGGCCAGGCAGCAGTGGGCTGGGCAGGTGCTGTCCTGGCTGATACCCAACTGGACCCCCAGTCTCTGCCCTGGCATCTGTGGAATGGTCCCTGCCCCGGGATGGAGAAATGCCTGGGAGACTCCCTGAGAAGCCTGAAAGCAGCTCACACACTTGGTCTACATGCTTTTAATGAGCATCTACTGTATACCCAGACTGGATCCAAGGTGCTGGGGAACAGTTCAGGGGAGGAAGACTTAGGTTCAGATTCTGACCTTCTGCTCAGTGGCTGTGGGTGCCAGGCAAAGATCTACCACTCTGAGCCTCAGTTTCCTCATCTGTAACATGGAGATGTGTGTGGAGATTGAACATCCTTTATCCGAAATGTTTGGAACCAGAAGTTACAAAGTAAAAGTTTCAGGTTTTGGATTTTTTTCAGGTTTTGGAATATTCCCATGTGCATAATGAGGGACCTTTAGGATAGGATCTGAGTTTAAGGGCAAACTTCATTTCTATTTCATCTACATGTTATACACATAACCTAAAGTTCATTTTTTTTTTTCATGCAGTACCAGGACTTGAAATCCCAGGGCTTTCACAATGAGCTACATTCTCCAGCCCTTTTTTATTCTTTATTTTGAGACAAGCTCTCACTAAATCACTCAGATGGGGTTTTAACTTGCAAACCTCCTGCCTCTGCCTCCGAGTGCTAAGATCATTTTATATGGTATTTGAAGTACACCTGCTTATTGACTTTGATCATTGTTCAAGGTCAGATATGGAATCTTCCACATGTGGTACAGTGCAAGGTCTCAAAAGGATCAGATTTGAGAGCATTTCGGATTTCAGTGTTTTGGGTCAGGGACGCTCAGTCTATAATCCTCTTGCCAGAGCTGCAATGAAAGAGCATCAGCAACCACGTAACATCTCTGGGAAGTATGTTGGCGATGCTGTTTTCAGCGCAGGGTGCAACTCAGGGGCGAGCACTTGCCTGGGAGTGCAAGGCCCTGGGTTCTACCCTCAGCATTGAAATAAAAAGCCCCACCAAAAAAGCAGAAAAAATGCAGGGTGGCAGGCCCACCCCAGCGTGGCTGGACTGCACTTTGAGGGCAGGAGCAGCGTGTTTTTGAGTCTGTGAGAGGTTCCATAAGCTCAAATTTGAGAACTGGTCTGTAACCCCCACCTCCCAGTGCTAGGTGAGTAGCATGTGAGTGCTTGTAAGTTATAGGCACTGGGTTTTTCTGGTTTTTTTTTAATTGGTGGGATTTTTTCCATACTAGGGATTAAACTCAAGGGAGCCTCTGCATAGAGCTTCATCTGCAGCTCCTTCCTTGAGGCAAGGTCTCATTCAGTTAGTCATTCAGTTACTCAAGGATTTCCAATCCTCCTGCGTCAGCCTTCCAGAGTGCTGGGATTTCAGGGATGCATCAGCATACCTGGAAGTTATATTTGTGAATTTATATCTATGAGGAGGTGAAAAGACCCAGACCCCCTCAAGCGTGTGGGCTGAGTTGGGGGACAGGATATACATGCTTTGCATCCTCACCTGGAAAAGTTGGCCCCGTGTCCTGCTCTTGCTGACACAACATCTGGATAGCAGAACCTGCTCCCCAGTGACTCAGATGCTTCCAGGACACTGGGCCGAGTTCATGCGGCCTAGGCTCATTTTGGGGGTGACCGGGCAGGCAAGGCTGCTACTCCGAGCCTTAGGTGCTATGCCTGGGCTTGGAGTCACCCTCTTGGGCCCACCAGGAACCTGTGCTTTTCTCTGCTTTGTCCAGGACAGAAGCCCACAGGACCCACTGGACCTCTCATTCAGAACGTCCACGCCTCCAAGCGTATTCTGTTCTCCATTGTTCACGACAAGTCAGGTAGGTGGGGCCCACACAGCATTCCAGCCGCAGTGGGCATCCATGTGCTGTGGGGCCGACATGCAAAGGGGCCCACTGAGTCTTGGTGGAAGAAACAAAAACAGGTCTGCCCAGGGGTTGTGAGTTACAATAGGGTGTAATAGCTACCTGCTACTGCTACTGCTGCATAACAAATTGCTTTCAATGTAGCTTAGAACAAATGTTTATTGCTTCATGGTTTCTGTGGGCTCAGATTCAGGAAAAATTCAGCTGGAGGACTCTGGTTCAGTCTTGCAAGAGCCCACATTCATAGTGTTGCTTGAGGCTGCTGTCACATTTGCAGGCTGCCTGGGGATTGACCCTGGGGTCTTTGCACTGGGCTACATCCCCAGCCCCTCTCCCCCACTTTTTTTTTTATTTAAAGAGAAAAAAAAAACAAAACAAAGCAGGAAAAAGGTACAAGTAATACAGAATTTCAAGAAAAAAAATATACAGTAAAAAATCACTAGTTAATAGATTACATATTGTCATCTTAGAAACAGTTGTCCAAATTACAAAATTAAAGCATACAAAGTAGACATTCATACAGTGAGATTCTGTTCCCCCACTTTTTTGAACCGTGGTCTCACTAAGTTGCCCCAGCTGGGCTCAAGTTGGTGATTCACCTGCCTCAGGTACCTGGAATGCTAGAATTTATGTTTTTAAAGGGTATCAAAGCAAAATAACAAAAAATGCGGGGCTGCAGCTACAGCCTAATGGTAGAGCACTTGCTTAGTGCTTGCAGGACACAGGGTTAATGTCCAGTGCTGCAAAAATAAAAATGAAGGACAGATTTTAAAAATACCACACAGAAAAGGAGGACAGTTTGAGATTTGGTTGAACTGAACTAATACTTCCCAGCAGTTTTGTTTTGAGTCTCAGCCTCCCCTTCAATGAGAGACTTTCGGGGGGGGGGGGGTGTTTGTTTTGGTTTTTTGTCCTGTTGAGACAGGGTTTTGCTATGCAGTTCAGACTGGCCTTGAGCTTAGTTTGTAGCCCAGACTGGCCTTGAACTCACAGTGATTCCCCCGGTTTTAGCCTTCTGAGTGCTGGAATTACAAATGAGTGCCACCATACCTGGCCTATTTTTGTCTGTTTAAAACAGGGTCTCACTGTGTAGTCCAGTCTGACCTTGAAATCACTATGTAGCTCAGGCTGGCTTTGAACTCTCAGTGTTCCTCCTGCCTCAGCCTCCGAGTGCTGGGAAAAGCCCCCTGGTCTCAGGTCCGGCTCTGGGAGAGAAAGCCAGGTGCGAGGCCCGTAGGTTCAGTGGTCAGTACCAAGAGGTTGCTTTGTTTTTGTTTTTAACTTAGTTTGCAGTGCTGGGGATAGAACCCAGGGCCTTGTGAGTACAGAGCAACTGCTAACCACTGAGCTATGCCCCAGCCCTGTCCTCTGGTTTCTGGGAGGGTCCTACAGGTCTGAAGGTTTGGGTTTCGTGGGGCCAGGTGGGGATGGACAGACAGGCTAGGTGCCAGCTGGACTCAGGGCTATGGCAGAGTTCAACTGTCCTTGGCCTTCACAAGGACCCTCAATGGTGGCCCGTGTGTTCCCATAGAGAAGTGGGACGCCTTCATCAAGGACACGGAGGACATCAACACGCTGCGGGAATGCGTGCAAATCCTGTTCAACAGCAGATATGGTGAGTGGGCGCCGGCTATAGCCACTTTGGTCCCCAAACGGGTGGCGCAAGCCATCTGCCGTGCCTGCACTCACTGGCTCCTGTCACCCTCCCTGTGTCTGGGTGGAGGCGGCTGTATCAATATTTGCTTTCCAGATTCCTCAGGGGGGCAGGAACCCCAGAGTCTGAGTCACTGCAGGAAGAAGGGCAGGGTGGGGGACGCTCGCCACCCCAGGGTCCAGAGGAATCTGCTGGCCTTGCATGGTAGGAGGTTCCCCATGGCACCACAGGCACTGCCGCATGGCCTCTGAGTGTGCTGTGCCCCCTGCCTGACAGCCTTTATGCCCGCTAAATACTCCTGGGGATTCAGTGTGGGCGTCACCCCCAGGAGAGCCTCAGGTTTCCAGTCCGGGCCTGGTGCATCCCCACAACCCTTCTGCAGGCACCTTCTCCCTGCCTCGGACATTTGGCTGCTGCTCTCTAAGGGCCAGTACTGTGCCCGGGACCTGGCGACTCTGTGGCTCTGGCATTCTGGTCTTGAGGGGTTTTACTGAAGCTTTGTGTACGGTGCTATGCAGGGGCACACAGGGTCGTGCGGCGCGGCCCAGAGCTGGACAGTGGCAGGCACTATGGCACATGCGTACAGGGTCGCGGGTTGGGGCTGGGGCTCCTGCACATGAATACACAGCAGAGGGCGCTGGTGAGCAGAGGAGTGTGGTAGCTGGGGCTGGGGAGGAAGGACTGCCCTGTGGAGGGCCCAGGGTGGACAGGCAGGGAGTCCAGGCCCTTCTTGGGAATGGAGTCCCCTCTTCTGCCCAGGTGTGGTTGAGCACGGCCATGGGCTACCAGTGCCCATGGTGCAGCGCATCCCACCACTCCTGCTTCTCCTGTGCAGGCCGGGCAGGTATGAGCCAGGCGGGAGCCGTGTGTCTGCCAGGGAGGCCCTGCCAGCTGGCCTGGCACAGCAGAGCCACAGAGACCTCAGCAGCCCGCCGGCCTCAGGCCCCAAGCATCTCTGGACTTTGGAGAATGCTGAGCTCTTTCCATACACAGCAGGTGGAGCAGAGTCAGGAGGGGACCTGAGGTTGGCATGGTGAGGCCTCTCTGAGCCACCCTTGGACAAGGAAGACCCAAGAGCATTGGGAGACCTGTGAGTGAGGGTATCATCTGGGGGACCAGCCCCTCCTGCTTACAGCCACCAAATCTGGTTGAAAAGTTGGCTGGTCACTGGGTGTGGTGATGCACACCTGTGATCCCAGCACTTGGAACGCTGAGGCAGGAGGATCTCCAAGAGTTTAAGGATCTCCAAGAGGCTAGCCTGGCCTACATACTGAGTTTAAGAACTCCTTGTCTCAAAAAAAAACAAAAAAAGAAAAAGGCAAAAATAAAAGTTGACTAATGATGGGTATGATGCATAAGGGGGGAGGGAAGAATTGGGGAGAAATGCAGCCTTCTGGGTGGAGAACATTGTTACCTGGAATGTGTTGGAACGTGATAGAGAACCAGACGGTGCATGGTGGCTCTGTGTATAGCCAGACTCCTGCCCGCAGGCAGCCATGGGGGCCCGTGTCCCGGTTCCCCAGCCTCCTGGCTGCTAGAAAGAGTGTTCCCTATGGACCGAAGACCATGGGGTACGTTCACGTGGATTACACGGGTGCCGAAGGGGGGTGCTGGTGACGCAGGAAGTAGCTGCCGGGAAGAAACGGTTTGACAGCTGTTCAGATTTCAAGAGTTTAATTTGACAACGAGCTAAGTGTGACTTCATAGTGAGATCTGGCTGCCAAAGCCACCAACACACCAGGGCTACATCAACAGGGAAACATTGTCGCCGGTCCCAAGGGAGCCTGCTGGTTCCTGTGGCCCTCTAAGGGATATTAGGGGATGTGGGACTTTGCCGCGGGCTCAGATGGAGCTGAGGGTGTGGGTGCACAGGCTGCACAGGAGGGGTGAAGGGGCTCTGACCTGACAGGGTGCTGGGGTGAGGTGACCAGATGTGGGTGACACCCTGCCCCACTCAAGTCCTCAAGCCCTCTTCTCTGTCACTCCAGATGGAGACCAAGAGGGAGTCTGCACAGCCCAGGAGGCCTGGGCATGTGCTGCCTGAGTGCTGTCTCCCAGACCCATAGGGCTTGTTACTGGGGTACCAGTCTCCTTGGACCCCAATCCATGCTGTGCTTTGGCTTCCAGTTCCCAGGTCTGTGTTCCCACAGGGACACAGTTGGGGCCACCTGCTTGGAGGACAAGGACCAGAGGAGGTCTTTTGGCCACACTCAGCCCTGAGTTCCATCACCAGCCCCCTATCTCCCACCTCAAAAAAAGAGAAGGGGGAGAAAGGAGTAGGAGGGACTCTAGGCATCGGGATGGGGTGTGGAGGCCTCTGGCTGCCCATCAAGCCCACCCACAGCCTGGCAAGGGTCCACTCAAAGTCACAGAGCAGGAGAGAGGGCTCCCAGACAGCTTAGTTGTCTCCTGAGAGCTCCCAGGTATTGATCACTAATTTGTCACCATAAGCAGACATTCTAATATACGAAGCATGAAGTGGGAGACGTTTATTCTGGGTGGCTCACTCCGAGGTACGGCGGTGGAGGGCCCTAGCAGGCAGTGTACTCGCCTCCTGAGGCAGGAAGCAGAGAGGGACAGAGCTGAGAAAGACAGCCCAGGGTCTGCATTTTCCATCCAGGCACATGACTTCCACTCGAGCCGCATTCTAGCAGCTCATTCTGCATGCTTGGATCCCATACTTGGATTATAGATGTGTACCACTGTGCCCAGCCAACACTTTTATTTAAACCAGAACAGGGACCCGAGGCAGTACCATGGTGTGGAGCACATAGTAGGTGCTTCAGAACAAGTGGACGAGAGTAGGGGCCAGTGGACGGAAGCGAAGGTCTCACTCTTGAGCCAGGCACTGCCTGCCATGCTATGGGCTGGGCTGCCACTTCTCCTGGTGCCTTGCTCTCGGGTCTGGTGACATGGGAGAAGACGTGGCCGTGCCCACTGAGCCCCTGGCCTGTACCTGTTCCTTCACTCACCAGTGCTGTGGGAGCCCTTGCTGCAGCCTGGCCTGTCTGGATCACAGGGTGTGGGGGCTCGGTGACAGAGGGACACCTTGATGAATGCATACCTAGTGACAGGTGGTGACAGTGGACAGCAGATGAGGCCAGTGTGGCAGGGAGGGAAAGAGAAGATCTGGGCTGATACAGTACTGCCTAAGAGGACACCAGAGAAGGCAGGCATGCAGGTATCTGGAGCAGAGGACAGGAGGAAAAGCCTGGGACATGTACCTGGCAAGCTGGGGAAGCGGCAGGGTCTAGGGACCCAGGTGGGGCAGTGAAGGGCCAAGAGGGCTAGGCAAAGTCCAAGATGAAGGTGTAACACATTGCGGCTTCGGCTGTCACTGAGTTGGGAGGATACGGGCATCTTTTAAAAGAGAAGCAGCCAGGCATGATGGTGCCCCCATAATCCAAGTACTCTGGGAGGCTGAGGCAGGAGGATTGCAAGTCCAGGCCCAGCCTGGAGAACATAGTAATTTGTAGAGACCTCTTGTCAAAACTTAAGAAAGGTTGTGGGTGTTGCTCAGTGAAAAGGCCATGAGTTCAATTGCTAGTTCCACAATTAAATAAATAAACAAGTTTTAAAATGCAGCATGATGTGATATTTCCACTGTGTCTAGCCAGAGTGGTACTGAGAGGCAATAGGAAGGCGACAGTGCCCTGCGCCCCATCCCTGGGCATCTTGCAGCCTCCCTTTCCCACTGAGCTGTCCCCTTCTTCCAGCGGAAGCCTTGGGTCTGGACCACATGGTCCCCGTGCCCTATAGGAAAATTGCCTGTGACCCAGAGGCCGTGGAGATCGTGGGCATCCCAGACAAGATCCCCTTCAAGCGCCCCTGCACTTATGGGGTCCCCAAGCTGAAGCGGATCCTGGAGGAGCGACATAGCATCCACTTTGTCATAAAGAGGTACAGGCTGGGTCTTGGCTGGACTTCGCTGTGGGCTCAGATGGAGCTGAGGGTGTGGGTGCACAGGCTGCACAGGAGGGGTGAAGGGGCTCTGACCTGACAGGGTGCTGGGGTGAGGTGACCAGATGTGGGTGACACCCTGCCCCACTCAAGTCCTCAAGCCCTCTTCTCTGTCACTCCAGATGGAGACCAAGAGGGAGTCTGCACAGCCCAGGAGGCCTGGGCATGTGCTGCCTGAGTGCTGTCTCCCAGACCCATAGGGCTTGTTACTGGGGTACCAGTCTCCTTGGACCCCAATCCATGCTGTGCTTTGGCTTCCAGTTCCCAGGTCTGTGTTCCCACAGGGACACAGTTGGGGCCACCTGCTTGGAGGACAAGGACCAGAGGAGGTCTTTTGGCCACACTCAGCCCTGAGTTCCATCACCAGCCCCCTATCTCCCACCTCAAAAAAAGAGAAGGGGGAGAAAGGAGTAGGAGGGACTCTAGGCATCGGGATGGGGTGTGGAGGCCTCTGGCTGCCCATCAAGCCCACCCACAGCCTGGGTAGCTCCTGCCCTGGCTGGGCCCTGCAATCTTGCAGTCCCTGCTCCCCACCCCTCTACCCCCATGCTCCTGGTTAATAAATAAACTGGAAATGCGCCTGGGTATATGGCCTCATAGCAGAGAGCTGGCCTAGGGACAAGGCCCCAGGTTCAGTCCCCAGCACCACACACACACAAAACCAAGAGGGACAGGTATCTCATGCAGGCATAGGTGGGCCAGGGCATGGAGCTGTGACCCCAGAGGGGGCCTGCACCCAGCAGGGCCCTATCCAGCCCATTTGCCGGGGATGTGTATATCTGTGTAGTGTGTGGTGGGGGGGGGGGGTGGGGTGTGAGTATGGTATAAGCGTGTGTGGTATGTGTCTGTTTTCATGTGTTCTGGGGGTGCTGAACATGAAGCTCCCCACCCTGCACCTGTCCCACGCTGCCTGCACCCTGCATTTAGTAACCAAGGCCCTTTCCCCTTGTCTAGCCCCACAGAGCCTCCCAGTCACTGGCCCCAGTCATGACCAGCTCTGCCCTGGCCTCTGATTGCCACTGTCCATGTCTTCCCAGCCTGGCCTCCAGGAGACTGATCTGCACGATGCAGGTCCCCTCTGCCCGATCCCCTAAGCAGCCCCGTGGGCCTATCTTGTGGCCCTGGTGACCAGGGAAGCCCCAAGCCAGAGCACCCTTTGGTTTCCTCTTCTTCCTAAGATACCCTGAGTGCTGTGATCCGTTGACTGATCCAGCTCGTGCCATCCCCATGCCTGTCACCGAGGGGACACTGGTGGTGCTGGCTACTCACAGGATAAGCAAATGACTCCTTCCCAATCACTGGTGGAAAGGGTGTGACAAGTGGATTGGCTGCTTCAGGGACCACCAGGGTGGCCCTGGCTGTGGTGACACCATCCCAGATGTCCTGAGGTTCCAGCCTGTGGCCGTCCCTGCCCCATGCGCAGCCAGCCCAGAGCCTGGGTCCCACTGCAGCAGCGTACATGAGACCCAGGGATGTCACGGGAAGGGAACCAGAGTCCCTGACATGCACTCCTCAGCTCTCTCCTCTCTTCTCAGGATGTTCGATGAACGGATTTTCACAGGTAAGTGTGCACCAAGTGGTCACCCTGCACCCTACTCTCCTGGCCCCTCACTGGGCTGCAGCTTCTGTATCCTGGGACAGCTGTGGGCCCAGTGTCAGGAGACTGAAACCCTGCACAGCTTAATGTGCCCTGGACGGTGATTACTTTCAAGTTTAGGTTGGCTTGAGCTTGCAATCCTCCTACCTCAGCCTCCCAAAATGCTGGGATGAAACAGACGTCCTGTAAAGATGCTGTGTTCCTTTCCCCATGTGCAAACGAAGGGGCAGTGGGGGGAACTGGGGCCTGGCTGCACCCCCAGTTTGTAGTACCAGAGCCACAGCAGGACAGTAGAGAATGCCTTGTGCGGGAGGACTGGACAAGAGGACACTAAACGCAGATTCCCTGTGTAGGGGACAAATGTGGGACGAAGAAGCAGGCTCTGCCAGAAGCAAGAAAAGCCACAGGCCTTGAATGTGATGCTCCTGGGCCCTGATCTGGTTCTGCCTCCTTGGGCAAGGTCTTGTGGGCCTCAGTTTCTGCATCTGTGAAATGGGAGTGAGAAGGTCATTTTCCTAGCTGGGCATGGGGCACACCCCTGTAAATTCCAGTACTCTGGAAGGCTGAAACAGGAAGATTGAATATTCCAGCCTAGCCTCAGCAAGCAATTTAGTGAAATTCTGTTATAAGAAATTTTTTAAAAAGGGCTGGGAATATAATTTAATGTGAAGGCTCTGGATTCAGGCGCCAATACCACCCCAAAAACAGACCTTCCTCCGGTTCCAGCATGACTGAACACAGGTGCAGCCCCTTGCCTGTGAGTCTCCGCTTAGCACGTCCTTGGGACAGGGAGTCACCCCCCTGGCTGCTGCCTGTCTTGCCTGCTGCTCTCTGTCCCCCCAAGTCCCCAACCTTCCCCAGCCCAGGGCTCCTGTTCCCTCCCTGGGGACACGGCCCTCAGGAGTTCCTGTCCTTGCTGTTGGCTGAATACAGTCCACAAGGAGGGTCTGCAGCCACACCACAGCCCAAGGGCACCCCTCAAGCCTCCTGTGGAGGCCCGACCACAGCACCTTCATCTCCATCCCCGGCTACCCCTAGGGAACAAGTTTACCAAAGATGCCACAAAGCTGGAGCCAGCCAGCCCACCCGAGGACACCTCCACAGAGGGATCCAGGGCTGCCATTCTCAACCTGGCCACCACCACCTGGTAAGGCCCAGCCCCACACAGGTCCTTGGTCAGCATGTGTGGACCCCGCACCCTTACTAGGGGACTTGTTTCTCTGAGAACTAAGCCAGGCAACACCTGTCAGGAGCCAGTGCCCTTGAGTGCCCACAGGCCCTGTGCCCAGTGCATGGCCTTGATCACTGTCCCCAAGAGGTCTCCAGGGGTCCCACCTAGGCCCTGAGCTGCAAGGTAGCGGGACCAGCCACTTATCTCTTTCCCATTCAGCCCTGGCCCTCTGTTTAGCAGCCCTCTATCCCAGGGGCCCCAGGTGGCTCCCAGGCTGGTGGGGACAGTGACCACATAGGCCATCCACACTGAACAGCGCACAGGAGCGTGGTGGGGCCACAGGAGACAGTGATTCTCAGCAACAGCATGCTGGAAGTGGCAAGGTGTGGGGTCAGGGTGCCACCCTTGGGCCCCGGGGCCTCTGCTTGGCATATGTCTTGAGCAGGGTACCCCCTAAGCAAAGTGGCCACCCATTTACCTCCTGCCTCCCTTCTCCAGGTCAGACAAAGGCAGTGTCTCTGAAGACTTCGGGGCAGGTGAGAAGGGGCAGGGTGGTATGTGGGGTGCCTCAGGCAGGGAGGGTGAGCACCAGCTCAGCCTCGGGCCCCCAAGGACGCAGGGTACACGTCTGCCTCACATTGCAGTAGCCCAAAGTATGTGAGAGTTGAGCCTGTGTCATGTATGCTGCTGATGTCCATGGATAAGCAGCATCCCCTCTGTGGGCCTCTCTTACCGGCTATGTAAATTGGGGACCCAGTGCCAAGTCAGGCCTGCCTGAGCCCTGATGTGTGAATGCTCTGGGGTGAACCAAGCCACCTGGCTGTGCTGAGACACAACCCCCACCCCCACCCCAGCAAACCTGATGGGATCTCTGTTCCCTATTCACAGGAACTTCCGGGGAACCGAGCATGCTGCGGCCAATCAAAATTGAGCCTGAGGACCTGGACATCATTCAGGTCACCATCCCAGGTAAGGTGAGGGGCGAGGAGCTGAGCTGGACCTATGGCTGCCACACTGTTGCCTGTCCACCAGGATGAGCCCCAAGCTGTGTTCCCTGGCTTAACTCTAGTGACAGTGGGGGGTGTTGAGCATGCTGTGTCCCTGCCCTCTGTGATGGGAGCTGCCTCTGACCTTCCTGAGGGTCACCCCACCCTCACCTCCCTGCCCCAGCTCCCCTGGGATCTGTGAGGCCAAAGAGAGAACCTGAGGGTGCTGTGGACTCAGAGCACGAACCTGCATCTCGCTTTCCACATCTGTAGAGAAGGAATAAACCTGTATCACAGCAGCCTGGGAAGCTGAGGCAGGAGGATCACAAGTTGCAGCCCAGGCCAGCCAACTTAGCAAGATTCCATCTCAACATGAAAGATAAGAAGGGTTGGAGACATAGCTCAGTGTGGAGGCCTGGGGTTCAAAAAGAAGAGATGTCCCTACCAAGGACACTCGGCACAGGGTCCCCAGAGACCCTACAGCCCTGGGTACTTGAGTCATCACACCCCAGCGCATGGCTTCCGAAAGGGTCACGGCCCATGCCCACTGGGCCCTGAGGGACCATGGCGGTAGCAGGGGATGGGGCCCTGGTCACCCGGAGCTCTCCCTGCAGACCCTTCACCAGCCTCCGAGGAGATGACGGACTCGCTGCCGGATCATTTGCCCTCTGAGGACTCCGGCTACGGCATGGAAATGGCGGCCGGTGAGTTCGGTGGCTGTGCTAGAGCAGTGGGGAGGGGCAGCCAGGGTGCCCCCAGCTTCGGGATTTGGGTGTCAGAAGTCTGGCTCTGCCGAAGAGGGCCTCAGAACAACAGAGCATCCCTTCCCCCACAGGGTTGGCAACCACGAGGGTCTGGAATTTGGATTTGTTTGTTTGTTTGTTTGCAGTGTTGGGGGTAGAACTCAGGACCTTCACACTGAGCTATGAATCAGGGCCTCACTAAGTTCCTCAGTGGCCCAGGCTGGGCCTTGAACTTGCAGCCTTCCTGCCTCAGCCTTCCCAGATGCTAGAATCACAGGCATGTACCACTGTCTCTGGCCATGTAGAGGGTTTATAAAGTGGTGGCTTTCAGTTCACACCCACCCCACCCCGGGAGACAGTTGCTTTTGCCTGGGTTAGAGGGAGGGCTCCACAGGGATTCTGGTCTGTAGGTGGGGACGGAACCAGCCACTGAACTGATGGAGAACAATGACTTTGATTTTAATTTCTTTGGCTTTCCGGTAGGTATTTTTTTATTTTGCAAACGGGCTTGCTCAGTTACCCCGTGTGAGTCTGAGCTTGTGACCCTCTTTCCTCAGCCTCCTGGAGTTCTGCATGACATGTGTGCACACTCGCCACTAAGCTACATCCACAGCCCAAGACCCCATGTTCAAACACAAGGTCCATTTCCTCCACATGTATCTAGCCTGAAAGTCACTTGGAAAACAGTTTTGTGCATGGCACAAAGCTTCATGGTATGGAGCTTTCTGCTCAGAGATCTTGTGGGAAACTCCAAAGGTTCTGGATTGCCAAGCAGTTTGGCTTTCAGGCTTTCTGATGAGGGACACTGACCCTGTACTTGCCCAGCAGCCCTGCCTCAGCTGGTCCTGACTGGGCTTGGTTTGTAGCTGGGCAGGTTACCTGGTTACTGCATCAGCTTCCCGAGAGACCCCACACAGGTTCATCTGTTCATTCATTTTTTTGCAGCTGTGCACCAAGCACCTGTGTGCCTGACCCTGGACACAGAGCAGGGATCAGAGCAGTCAGCCAATGGGCGGAAGCCCTGGGGACTGACACCAAGGCACAGAGCAACAGTGAGCAGATAGGGGTGCATGGGACAGGAGGGATGGTCGCTGTGGGGTTAGCGAGTCCAGAGAGGACCTCGCTGAGAAAATGACATTGGAGCAGACCTGCAGGACTTCCCTGTGGATATGGGGAAGGCACTTGCTGGAGGAACAGCCTGTGCAAAGGCCCTGAGGTAGCCTAGACCCATTGAGTCTTAGAAAACAAGGAGCAATGGTAATGGGAGCAGAGTGGGGAGGGAAAGGAGGTCAATGAGGTGACCCCATGGGTACCACTAGAGTGAACATTTCGGAGAAAGGACCAGGACCTTGGCTCTTAGAAGGCAGGAAGCCACAGGGGCCCTGTGGCTAATGGGAGCAATCTAGCAAGACACACTGTGGTCCTGGTCTCTAGAATGTACCACAGAGGGGTGGAGACAGAGCCAGAGCTGACTCCTGAAGTGATCTGGGCAAGGGCTGGTGTGGTGGTACTGCCTTGTCATCCCAGCAATTTGGGAGGCTGAGGCAGGAGGAGCACAAATTCCAGCTTAGCCTGGGGAATTTAGTGACTTAGTGAAACCCTTTCTCAACAAATAAAATAGAGCTAGGGGGGTAGTTCAGTGTGAAGGCTTGCGTTCAATCCTTGGTGCCCAAAAAAAGCCATAAAAACATAAACCTGCGCCACCACAGTGATTTAGGCTACACAGGCTTGTAGTAGTGGGTGAGGGGTTGATTCTTTTTTTTAATGTGATGAAAGGGAAATCATTTATGTTAGTTTTGTGATACTGAAAATATTTCGTTACAGAAAAGTTTAAATGTATGCAAAAATAGAACAGCTGTCAAGTCATGAGGGGGTAGATTTCAACATGTATTTTTGAACATCTTAGAAATGTTCAAAAACATGTTAAAATCAAAATGATTCAGCCACACACATAAATTTCATGAGTCTCCTATCACCAGTTCCTGCCTCCAGCAGTTATCAACAGATGCTGTTCTAAATAATAAAAATAAAAATTATGACAGGTACAGTACTTTATTTTTTTTTGTTTGCTCTTTTTTTTTTTTTTAAACTTTTTATCGGGACTAGGGATCGAACTCACGACCTCCTGCTTGCAAGTCAGGCGCTTATGCCGCTGAGCTAAATCCCCTGCCCTTAGTATTTTATTTTTAAGAGATTATTAGGGGCTGGGGATTTAGCTCAGCGGCATAAGCGCCTGCCTTGCAAGCAGGTAGTCGTGAGTTCGATCCCTGGTACCGATGAAAAGAAAAAAGACAAAAAAAAAAAAAGAGATTATTAAGAAAACAGGTGTGTGCTGGCTGGTACACACCTGTTGTCCCAGCACTTCAGGAGGCTAAAGCAGCAGGATGACAAGTTTTGATTCTAGCCAGGGAAACTTAGTGAGGACCTGGCTCAAAATAAAAAGGGCTGAAGTTTTAACTTAGTGTGAAAGCCCTGAGTTCAGTCCCCAGTACCACAAAAAAGGGGAAAAAAGAATGAAAAACCTCACTGTGTTATGTAACATCCCAGGCTGATGACCCAGCACTGCCTCTGCGGTGTCCTGGAGGTCCCAGGGCCCAGCAGTATGTGGTGAGGTGACTTTGAAGGGAGGGTCTGGTGTTAGGTCAGGTGGACTCGAGCTAGTCCTGGGCAGCAGCCCACAGGGGCCGCAGGTACTGAGCACAGGTTGGGAAGCCTGTGTGGGAGGCACCTCCGCCCCTGGATAGGCTTCAGGGCATCTTGGAGGTCTGGTCATGTCTCTTCTCAAATTCTGCTGAGTTTAGTGAGTCCATGCGTGGGGCAGTGAGATCACACAGTTGCAGCGAGGTGCTGAGGTGGAGGGAGCATGGCTGGGGCTGAGGAGGCAGCGTGCCATCTCTCAGCATTGTTCTGAGTTAGACTCCAAGATCCTGGCCTTTGTTTTGTTTTGTTTTTATTTTCTTTCCAGTACTGGGGATTGAACCTAGAGCCTTCACATTGAGCTACCTCCCCACCCCTTTCCAGTTTGAGGCAGAAGTCTCGATAAATCACTAACTCCCGAGTGCTGGGATGACATGTTGTACACCACAAGTGGTGGCTGCCTCCTGAGCTCAGAGTGTGCAGTGTGTCAGGCGTCAGACTTTGCAGCCATCTTCAGCCTGAAGCCCAGTAGCCGCTTGTCCCAGCCAGGGCCAGAGCCATTTTGTCACCTGCCTCTCGCTCTATTCCCAGCTTGTTTGTAGTGTCACTGCCAGCTGACATCACTTGTGACCCCTGATGTCACACCAAGAGGATGGAAGTTGTCTTATTCCCACATGTCCTCCTGAGGAGGTGGGGAGGGAGGCACCTCTGGAACGGTGCACCTCCTTTGGAGGTGTTGGGCTGTGTTACCCTTGCCCTCCCTGTGAGCGCAGGAGGTGACAGACGGTTTTCCAGCACTGTCTTCTCTTGCAGACAAAGGACCCACCGAGGATCCACGGCCAGAGGAGCGGCCCGTGGAGGGTGAGCCTGACCTGCCTGGATTTACCCACCCACTTCCTTCCCCTGCCCCTCACCATCTTGTCCCCAGTCTCTGCCTCCTCCCCTCCTCCCACTCTCTCCAGTGGCAGGGAGGCGGGATTGGGGTGAGAGAGGAAGCTGAGGACTTGGTGGGGCACAGGGGGCGGGGCGGGTGGGGCCTGTCTAACAGACTGTTGGCTGCTTGCTGGAATCACAGCCCCACTCGGCTCACCCTGGAGAAGCCTTCCCAGAGGTGCAGCCCAGGCCTCGGGGTCTCTCCCTGTGCCTGCAGGGCCAGGCGCCAGCCCAGAGGCAGCGTGCTCTCGGCCACTCAGCAGGCGCCTTTTTCCTCCAGACAGCCACGGCGATGTGATCCGGCCGCTGCGGAAACAGGTGGAGCTACTCTTCAACACGCGATACGGTGAGTGTGAGGGCTGGCGTACACCAGGCCGGGGTCACGCACGAGAGGGACAGCAGCCCAGTGGACAGAGCCGCTGCCCGCCGCTTCCCTGGGGACACTCTGCCTGCCACCCTCCTTCCTGTTCGCAGTCCGCCTCAGCCAGAGGTAGTGACTCTGGTGTGTGACTGCTAAAAGAGCTCAATCCTCGAGCACTTGGGGACTCCTAAGCCACAGCTCTTCCTTCAGGAGTCCACAGGCCAGGTGCAGGGGCACAAGCGTAAACCCAGCACACTGGGAGGCCGAGGCAAAAGGTTCGCCATAAGTTTGAAACCAACTTGGGCTACATGGTGAGTTCAAGGTGACCCAGAATTATATAGCGACCCTCTCAAAAAACCTAAAAAGAGAAGAAAAGAAAAAATTCCAGGACAGACAGAAAGAAGAGAGGAAGGAGTGCTGCTCCTCATTAAGCTCCCTGTGTGCTGGAGTGAGGCCGTGTCTTGGTTTCACACATACCCTCACTGCACCCTCACGAAATTCTGTGCTGAGACCCATTTCACAGATGAGAGAAGTGAGGCCTGGCACCAGGACTAGGAGGCTGGCCAGGGCCTCAGGTCTGGCTCTTCTTGACACATGAACTTAAACCCACAAGAACTCGGTGGTGTGTTTGTTTTCCTATACTGGTGATTGAAGCCTTGGTCCTATACTGAGCAACATGCCCAGCTCTTCAGTTATTTTTCATTTTGAGGCAGCATCTCACCAAGTCACTAAGTTGCCCAGGCTGGACTAAAACTTGCCACCCTCTTGCGTCAGCCTCCTAGAGTGCTGGGATGACAGGTATGCAGCGTGCACTGTAAGTTTTAGTGGTATGGGTTGTTCTCTGGCTGGCCTCAGTGAGAGGAGACCGAGGACAGGTGGTATTAGGTAAACCCCAGGCCACATCTCAGCAGCTGTCAGTGGCTTCTACACTGGCCGGGGGTGGGGATGGCCCGGCATTGGCTCTGGGCTCCTCAGGTCCAGGTCATATCCCCTGCTCTGTGACCTCAGACAAACCACATGTACCCCCAGGAGCAAGGGAACTATGGCCCCAGCTCTTGGAAAGTGTCTTTCCCCATCTGGCACAGGTGAGGTTGACATCCAGGGCTGGGCCTGGTTGCTGGCTGGCCCTGCACAGCTGCTGTCCACTCTCTGTCCTCAGCTGAGGCCATTGGCATCTCAGAACCAGTCAAGGTGCCCTACTCCAAGTTCTTGATGCACCCCGAGGAGCTGTTCGTGGTGGGGCTGCCAGAGGGCATCTCCTTGCGCCGACCCAACTGCTTCGGCATCGCCAAGCTGCGCAAGATCCTGGAGGCCAGCAACAGCATCCAGTTCATCATCAAGAGGTGAGGCCCGGCCTGGCCCTAGGCGCCGCCAGGCAGCACTGGGCACTGCCGGGCAGGGGCAGCACCAGGAACAGCGCCAGGCTCCGTCCTCCTCGTTGGGTGCCAAAGCCCCTCCCTTTCCTTCCTTTGTCTTTTTCTCCTTTCTCCCCTCGTCCTGGACACTGAACCCAGTGCCTTCACGCTGAGCTTCGTCCCCCGCCCTTTTCATTTTTATTTTGAGACAGGATTTTGCTGAATCACCAAGTTGCCCATGCTGGGCTCAAACTTGCCATTCTCCTGCCTCGGCCTCCCTGAGTGCTGGGATGACAGGCATGTGCCACTGCACCCAGCTTTAGCTTCAGATTTTGCATAAAGTAGCCCATTCTGTTACTAGCCATTCCCTCCATCCCATTCCATATCCCCCCACATGCTGTGCACCCCAAGCCCAGGCGGCAGTGATCAGATAATGTCCTGGAACTGAGGGCGAGGGTGTCAGTGGGTCAGTCCAGTGGAGCCACCGAGGCTGATTCCCCAGCCAAGAGCAACCCTAGCTCCTGTGGGTGAGCAGGGACACCAGGCTGGGCATGGCCCTCCAGCTGGGAGGGTCTGCTGTACAGTTGTGTAGAGGATAGAAGCCCCAAAGAGAGGGCATTGCTTTCCAGGACACCCGAGGGGCATAGGTCACAGTCCTGCCGTGTCTTCCAGGCCAGAGCTGCTCACCGAGGGTGTCAAGGAGCCTGTCACTGACAGTCAAGGTACCTGAGCTCGGGTGGACCCTGGGCTGCCCGCCCCTCCCATTTCCTTCCCTGCCTTCCCCCGGGGACCAGCCCTGCCGATGCCCCGTCAGCCCGGCCGCCTCCTCACCTGGCTTCTCTCCCCTGCCTGCCCCAGAGAGGGACTCCAGGGACCCCCTTGTGGACGAGAGCCCAAGGAGACAGGGCTTCCCAGGTAAGGCTGAGCTCAGGGAGGTGCTGTGCTGGGAGCCCAAGTGGGGTGTGGGGAGGGCAACCCCCAGCCACAGGGACCAGAGACAAAGTGAGCCGCAGTGCCCTACCAGGCTGGACCTTGCTGGCAGGTGGGGGAGGCTGGATTAGGGCTTAGAAACCAAGTGCCCATGCCTTTTATGCCTTTTCTGCCTTTTTTTTTTTTTTTTCTTTTTATGTTTTTTGCATTACTGGGAGTAGAACCCAGGCCTTTACACTAAGCTACCTCCTCAGCCCTTTTATAACTTTTAAGACAGCATCTTGTTAAGTGGCTGAATTGCCCAGACTGGGCTAGAACTTGGAATCCTCCTGCCTCAGTCCCCCAGAGTTGCTGGGATGTTGAGTGTGCACCACCACACCCAGGCTAATTTTTTTTTTTAATAGTCCTGAGAATGGAACCAAGGAACACTGTCCCACTGAGCGATGTCCCCAGACTTCGGCTCATGACTTTAAGACCCCACTCCTACCAGCTCTGTCCCCACCCTACCCCACCAGGCATGGGAACCCGCTCTCTGTGACTCTTCACCACCCCTGGGGCTTATTTATTGTTTCGGTCATTTTAAATGTCAATTTCCAGCTCCTTGCCGCAGAACAGAGCATGCGTCTTTTCGGAAGAGCACACATATCTGTGAGCTGAAGGTGGCTAAGGGGCTCTGAGGGCCACTCCAAGGCCTGAAATTGCCAGAGCAGGAACTCCCCATAATTAGACAGTCACGCTCCCCAAAAGGCTCTGAGTGCCGTTTTAGCCAACAGCATCCAGAATGATTGTTTTCACTTTGCAGAAAATTACGATGCCAGACTGTCCCGGATCGACATCGCCAACACACTGCGGGAGCAGGTCCAGGACCTGTTCAATAAGAAATATGGTCAGTGTCGCCGCCATATGGAGTCTAACACTAGGAGGCGCTGTTTCTGGAGCTACACCAGAAACTCACAGGCTGCTTGAGGAACCAGCTGGGGTCGCAGTCTCAGAGCTCCACCAGTGAAGAGATGCCAGGCAGATTGCAGAGGAGGGGAGTCCAACTGGACAGGGAGCCTGGCACATGCAAAGGCCCTGTGGTCAGACCTAGAAGGCCTGAACTGTAGCCCAGAGATGAGTGCTTGTCCAGCATGTGCAAGGCCCTGCACTGCAAAACCTGCAAAAGCAAGCAAGAGCACAAAGTCCTCTATAAAGGGCAGAGCCCCAGCAGCTAGCCCGCTACGGAAGAGATTCCTATATTACACAGGGTGGGGTATACAGGATTGGAGAAGATACAGATGTGCTATCTGAGGGGCTGGGGATTTAGCTCAGTGGCATAAGTGCCTGCCTTGCAAGCAGGCAGTTGTGAGTTCAATTCCCGGTACCGATAGAAAAAGGAAAAAAAAAAAAAAAAAATCACAGATGTGCTATCTGAGGACAGTGCAATTGGCCATGATTCAACCTTATGAGAAGTCCAACAGCAAAGCAACCTTCTGGGTCAGCTGGATCTGGCAGCTCAGGGATGTCCTTCCTGTCTGTTTCTGTGGTCTGTTGCCTCAGCCTGGGGTCCCACTGACTGGAGAACGGCTGCAGGCAGCGCCAGTCATCTCATCTGCATGCTGCAGGAGGGAAAGCTGACTCTGCCAAGCCTTTAAAGGAGCCAGGGTTTATGACTGGGTTACTTACAGCACTGCTTTGACAGGAGAGCGTGTCACTGATGGAAGGCGGATGGAGATGCCCGGCTTCAGGGGTGGACAGACACTGCACTGACAGCTGGGGGACAGGGCAGTGTCCTCCCAGGGGGAGCAAGGGCCAGAGCTGATGGTTCTCTTTCAGCTTGTTGATGACAGGCCCTAGATGGGCCTGACATTATACCACAGCTGACCCAGGAATGGGGTTGCTACTGAGGACACTGAGGCAGGAGGATCACAAGGTTAAAGCCAGCCTGGGCAGCTCAGTAAGACCTTATCTCAGAACAACATAAAAAGGGCTGCTGGTGTACATCAGGGGCAGAGCACCCCCTGGGCTCAATTCCCAGTACTGAAAAAAAAAAAAAAAACAAAAAAACGGAAAAAAAAGAAAACAGAAATGGATATAGGGCAGTGGAGAGGACGTTACTGGTTGCAGGAAGGCATGTAGGGTTGGGCAGGACGGCTGAGGCGGATGGGGTTTTCCTTTGAAGGAATGAACTTGTTCTGAAGTAAGATGGTGATAGTAAGTCTTTGACTTTGCACATGTGTTTAAGACCACAGGATTGTGTAGTTGACAGTAGTTGAGTCACAGTTTGCAGACAGCCCTACCCCATGACCAAGGGCAGCACGGTGGCTCAGGGAGTCCATTCCTGCCACACTCGGAGCACAAATCAGACTGTTTCCTGCGGCCCAAGCAGAAGGGGACATAGAGGCAGCCCTGCAGCACCCAGGATCCAGGAGATGGAAACTAACCTACCACCCCTCAAAGTGCCCCTGTTACTCCTGGGGCTGGAGCTCTGTTAAGGGGAGGGTGCTGGCTGCTGGAGCCCCACGGGCTGCCATGGGGTGCTCCATCCCTCCCCGCCCCGCCCAGGGGTCTGAGAGAGGCAGCGTCTAGCTGGGCCTTGGATGTCCGAGCCAGCCCAAGTTGGGACGGGACCACTGTGACCGCCGTGATCGGGAAGCTCAGGATGGTACCAGGCTAGCTGGGGTGGGGCCCAGCATGGGGACTACAGTCCTCCACAAAAATTTCATGCAGAATTGAAGCCAAAGCTCAGGTAGAAGTACTGAAGGCCCCGAGTCTGGGCTGCACCCCCTGCGGAATCTGCCTGCCCGTGCAGGGCCAGCCCTGAACCAGGAGGGCTACTGTGGGCACTGCTCAGGGTGGATGCACCAGGCTGCCAGCCATGGAACCCCTGCATCACACCCCACCTCAGCCCACTGTGCAAACTTCTGTGCCCCCTCTTGCTCTTGATGGGCATCATGCTCCCTCTCTCCCCCAGGGGAAGCCTTGGGTATCAAGTACCCAGTGCAGGTGCCCTACAAGCGGATCAAGAGCAATCCTGGCTCGGTGATCATCGAGGGGCTGCCCCCAGGAATCCCCTTCCGGAAGCCGTGCACCTTTGGCTCCCAGAATCTGGAGCGGATCCTTGCAGTGGCTGACAAGATCAAGTTCACCGTTACCAGGTACTTGCCTCGCCTGAGGCAGGGAGGGAGGAAAGCCAGGAGGATGGGGGCTGGAACTGGCAGGTCCCAAGCCTCTAAAGTCTCATGCGTGGGCGTGAGATGACCTATAGATTGCTGAGAGTGTAGGGAGCCCCCCAGGACACCCTCACAGCCTCCAGGGCCTTCATGAGTACCTTCTGCCTGGCCAGCAGCACCCCAATACTGCACCCAGGCCTCTTGGAACTGAGGAATTCAATGCAAGGCCCCTGCACTGGGTATACCCCCAACCCTTTTTAAAATTTTTATTTCAATGGTCTCACTAAGTTGCTCAGTTTGGGCTTGAACTCGGGATCCTCCTGCCTCAGTCTGCAGGAGTGCGGGAATGACGGCATATGTCACTATACCCAGCTTGAAGTGCAAGTTCTGCAGTGGGCTGGGATGGCTTTTCCAAGGGCTCCCAAGTGAGGCCAGTGCTGCTGGTCCCCAGGTGGCTGCCCTGTTCCCAGTCTCCCCCAACCCCTTCTGTTTCTCTTCCAGGCCATTCCAAGGACTCATCCCTAAGCCAGGTAAGAGCTGCTGGCCGTGGGGTGGAGGGCATGGGGGCCACAGTGCTGGGGGAGAGGCTGGAGCAGAGCCTCTGCAGGCCTCAGCTTCCAGGATTGGGTGTTGAACAGGCTGTGCCCTCCTGTCCCCTGTCCCCTGTCCCCTGTCCTGCCCCAACCCCTGCCTAGGTCAGGAAAAAGGCAGGGTTCCCGGGATCATCCTGGTGTAGGCAGCTCTAGGCTTTGAGTGGAGGCAGGGCCTGGACATCTCAGTAAAGGATGCAGCTTGCAGGGTCAGCACTGGGCAGGAGGAGACCCCAAGGGAGGATCCTAGGAGGGTGAGGTTGGGATGGGCTCTTCCTTAGGCTGCCAAGAATGGCTCTGATGTTGGGCCTGGTGATGAATACCTGTGATTCCAGCACTCTGGGAGGCTGAGGCAGGGGAATCACAAGTTTGAACCCAGCCTGGGTAGTTTAGCAATTTAGCAAGTCCCTATCTTAAAACATTTTTTAAAAGGGTCCCTTGGGTGGAGCTCCAGGTAAAGTCTCAGGGTTTAGTCCTTAGTAGCATACAATAAGAGAAAAAGACAAGGGGTTAGGACCCCAGGAGGCCTTCAACATTGTCCCAACTGGTTACGACAGATTTGCCCTCAGGGCCTGAGTTTCCCAAATGAGATCTAGTGGCTCCTCTCACCTCAGCATGCTCAGGGGTGGATGGATTGGAAGGCGAGCTTGGGCTTTGCCTGGGCCCTGAGGAACAGCGGGAGCCACTGGATGGGAGTCCAGGCCTCAGGTTAGGGCCTTGGGCTGGGCTCCCTCTGGGACTGGAGAAAGCTCCTCCCAGGGTGAAAAAGAGACACAGACTGGGACCAGGGTGCAGGTGACCAGGGATACCCAGGAAGGCTGCGTCCGAGTTCAGTATCCCGCTCTTGGGGACAAACACGCACCAGAGCCAGTAAGCAGACACCTTCTGTCTGGGTGGCTGGTGCCATGCCAGCTGCAGAACATTCTGGTTCATAAAACTCAAAGGGAATGCTGGGTGTGATGGTACATGCCTGTAATTCCAGCCCCTGGAAGGCTCAGGCTGGAGGATCACCACAAGTTCAAGACCTGCCTGGTGTACACAGTGAGACATTGTCTCAAAAAGAAAAAAAGAAAAGTTGAAATAAGACAAAAGGAATGCATATATATCAGCCCACAGGAAAAATTCGCAAAATACAGAACTCTTAACAATCCAGATGGCTTTTCCTTTGTACAATACATTTCTTCCAGATTTGCCCCAAACTTAATTAATTTTATTTCTCACTGTTGTTGCTTCTGTAAATTTATGCAACACACTTAACCTTAAAACACAAACGTGTCCCTGCGTCCTTAAAATGCTTTCTAACTCTCCCTCCCTGGGCTTCACTGCCTCCCTGCCTGAGCTGACTAGGTCACCAACCTCCCCGGAAGAAAGTAAGGCTCAGAGAGGGGAAGGAGCCCTCTCACAGCTGCACAGCATGTTATAAAGGATGATTGAGATTTGAACCGAGGTCTCCCGTGTTTTACTAGTATAAAAGGCTGGCTGTCCCAGGGCCCAGGCTGGGGTCCATCCCAGGATAGTGGGGCCACGCCCTGGTGCCTGCCTCCTTCCCCATCCAGCTCAGTGGCTTTTTGGCACCCTCTCCTGGCCAGAGGCTTCAACAACGTTGGTCCTGTCTGGACTTCTTAGATTGTTCATCCTTTGGTTCATTATTCGCCCAACAAAACCGTACTGAGTGCATACTGTGGGCCAGATGAGATACCCGCAGCTGGACTGAGATCTCTGCCCTCAAGATGCTTACGTTCCCATGGAGGGTATGGCTAAAGAGGAAGCAGAACACCCTATTTCATAGTGACAAGTGCTGCAGAGCTGAGACAGGACAATCTCATGGAGGCCACCAGGAGTCTGAGCTGCAGACAGGGAGGGCATGGGCAGAAAGTGCCAGGGGAAAAGCTGGGCCACAGCTCAGTGACAAGCACCTGCCTGGCGTGCACAGGACCCTAGATTCTACCATCACCACCCCACGCAGCACCGCAGAACAAAGTGAGAACAAAACCCCCATAGCAAAGCCGGGGTCAGTCAGAGCCAAAGCCCTGGATGTATTGTGAAAGTGGTGCAGGCACGTGTGGCAGCGCGTGCCTATAATCCCATGCCTGGGAGGCTGAGAAAGGAGGATTGCCATGAGTTCAAGGACAGCCTGAACTCCAAAAAAGAGCTAGTGTGAAGGACATGGGAGGAGGGAGAAAGAGGGCAAGGCTGCACTAGGATTTTGTCCTGAGCAGCTGACAGAGTCTGTGCCTTGTGATGGGGACAGGTCTGAATGGTGGGTCAGACAGTTAGTTCACTCTGCAACTAAGGAACTCCTGCCGGAGACTGGGCACCATCCTGTATGGAAAGGATTTGATTTAGATGCTGGGTCACCCGAGGGTGAGCCCCAAGGGCCCCAAAGGTGACACCTGTGAGGTAAGGCTGAGGCCCCAGGGCGGGTCTGAGGGCTGATCACTGTCACTGGTTCGGTCCACAACCCCTGAGGCCAGACGGGGATCCGGCAGTGCAGAGGTGGCCGTGGCAGCGCTGGGATGAGCCGTTTAGGGGAGAAGATGGGAGAGGACCTGTAGGACCTGCCGGGAGCAGCTCACCTTTCAGCAATCAAAGCTGGAGAGGGGATGGGTAGGGGAATCGGCAGGGTCTCCAGGCCATGTACAGGAGGTCCTCATGAGGATGAAGCACAGAGGGCAAGCTGAGAAAATGAAAGGGATGTGTGAAGCCAGGCCCGGTGGTGCACACCTGTAACCTCGTACTTTGAGCAGCTGAGGCAGGAGGATTGCAGGTTGGAACCCAGCCTGGGGTGACTTAGCCAGGCCCTGTCTCAAAATATAATAAAGGGCTGGGGCAAAGGCCCTGGGTTCCATCCCCAGTACCACAAAACAGAAACAGGTGACAGAGACCACAGAAGGGCTGACACTTTCAGTCACCCAGAGGCTTAGGACACAGCTAGAGAGGAGAGGTCAGGGGCTGCATGTGCACAGCTGAAACCTAGCAGACGGACTGGAGCATGGTTATTTTCCGCAGCCAGGCCAAGGCTGCCTGCAAGTTCAACCTGCCCTTGGCAAAGAGTAGCCCTTGTGCCCAGAGATCCAACTCTGCGGACAACCATGTGCATCGGGGGTCCAGGGTTGTCCTGCCCAGGAGCTAGCATCCCCCAGCCAGGACCAGGAGATGACACAGAATGTGACCACTCCAGTGCTCACTGGGGATCCACGTGCCAGCCTGGTGCTGGGCACATCAGCAACCAGGAGGGACTTCGAGGGTGCTATTTCCTATTTTGCACCTGAGCAAACCAAGCCTCCAAGAGGCAGCAGCACATAGCAGCCTGAGCCCCAAATCACACCAAGGTCCCCAAATGCTGGACAGTGGTGGCCAGCCCACGCAAGCTGCCAAGATTCAACCTGGTCGTCGCTGAAAAACTAGCTTATTTTGGGGCATTGGAGGGTTTTTTTAGTCCATCAAATGATACAGTGTGATCTGCATTATTCTGTGGTTACCATGGTGACCACACATCCGTACCCTGAGGAGAGACAGAAGGGAAGCTGGGGGAGCAGGGCCCAAGGAGGGGCTGCTGGTCCCCAAGACTGTGTCTGGGACCAGTGGGCCCCGACTAGAGCCATGCTCCAGGGGTCCCTGGGGGAACAGAGGCACTGGAGCTGGGGAGAGTGACCCCCATGGGTCAGGGCAGTGGTTTTCAGGGCTGGGGTGGCGGTGTCAGTGGTAGACCCTGTGTGGGCACAAAGCCTCGGGTGTGACCGAAGAGAAACAAAAGCCCTTGTGGGCAACCATGAGAGCAAAGCAGGAAGCAGCATTCTAGGGCTTGAATAGCGAAAGTGGGGGAAAAAAAAAAAGACTAGTATGAGAAGGTGGGAGGTGTTTAAGCCAGAGGTGAGTGGCCTTGCATCAGGAAGCCCACTGGCTGCTCTGAAGATGACAAAGGGCTTCTTGAGGTGGCTTTGTGTGTGTCTAAGGCTGGTGACCCACACACACAGCTGTGCCACATGGCAGGAGGGACCCCAGAGCCAGGCCCCCAGCAGGCTGAGCAGAGCTGCGGCTTCCTGTATGATTCCAGCAAGTTGAATTTGCTTGTTTGGGCCTCAGTTTCCTTCCTTAGAAAGTGGGCAGAGTTGCGGGCACCATGTCTCCTGCCCCAGGCCCGCCCTGCTCAGAAGTGGAAAGGCGGCCAGGCCATGGCGTGAGGGCCTGGAAGGCCCAGCTTTGCAGTGTGGACTGCACCCTGCAGACCTGGCCTTAGCAAACTCTCACACTGATGACCCCGTGGCAGGAGCCTGAGCACCATGGGGACTGGGCCAACCAAGGAGCCCTGCAGGCCACCCCAGAACCTCCACTTCTGCTCTGTGCAGAGCAAAGCCAGGGATTGCATCCCCTTCGTGCCCCCAGCATTGTCTGGTCCTACTGGCAGAGGCGCAAGTGGCACAGACCTCAGCAGTCCCTTCTGCCTATCTGTCCCCGCTGTGGGGTCTCTGAACCTCTTAGGTGCTGGGTGGCGTGGGCTTCGGGGAGGGGACCTGAGCAGGACCAGGATCCCAGTTGGGTTGACGCCTTAGGGGTGGAGGTTGAACAGGACTGGGATAGGCCCCTTTCGCCCCCATAGGATCTCATTCTGCCATTTCTGAACTGGGTGATCCTGGATAAGTTGACTTACTATCTATGATCCTGGATGAGTTAACTTCCTGTCTGTGATCTTGGATAAGTTACCATCTGTCTCTGGGTGTCCATTTCTCGAGGATCCAAGGAACAGTGATATTTCCCACAGTGCCTCCTTCCCTTCTCGCTTCCACTGCCCAAGCTCTGAGGGTCATTTGTCCCCAGTCACAAACTGCCCTCTGGGCTCTGCCTTCCTGCCCCAGCCTCCCCACCCCGTCCACCTTCGACTCTGTCATGTTCTTGAGAGCTCAAAATAAACCTGTCCTTTCCCAGCTTCTAAAGATGCCCCAACCAGCATCAGCCACATGTTCACCTCATTATCTCCACTGTTCTTCGTTAATTAGGCTGCAGTAATGATCTGTCTCCCAGGAAGAGCTGGCATCTGCCAGGTGGGGTGGGGCCTCTGGGCAGCAGACACCTGGCTGCCAGGCCTGGGTTTGGCATGGCGCCTGCTTTCTTCTGAGGCCACGGGCACAGAGGTAGGGGGATTCTGTCCTTTACCTGGCCCATAGGGCTCAGCAGAGAATAAGAGGAGCCTCAGGTTAGGGGTGCTTTATACTGTGGCATTCCAGGCCCAAGCTACCTGAGATGTAGGTGCGACCACAGGCACAGTGCTTACAGCCTCAGGAGAAGGAGTCTGGTAGCAAAGCTAGGGATGGGGACGTTCAAGACAGTGCTCCAAGAGCCCCCGGGCCGGGTCCTGGAGCACAAGGCCCAGGGCAAGTATGGACAGAGTCATCAACCAGTCTGCCAAGCACATAAAATGTGTCAAGTTGGGGGAGGGATATTAGTGGCTGTTGTCGTGTTTTGTAGTGCTGAGGATGGAACCCCCGGGTCTCGAATATGTCATTCAAGCACTAACCTCCAAGCTACCTGCCTGGCCCCAGATTTCAGCCAAGTGCTGCTACTGAGTCTGGGAGGCCTTGAGTGAAGGGGGCAGTGCTGAGCTGGGCAGGTGGGAAGCACAGTAGGCAGATGGCAGGCATCCCTGAGGCCGCCTTCAAAGGGGTCAGTGGGGGCAGCAGATGAGGCCAAACTGGGGAGGGATAGTGGAGCCCAGCCGGGCTGGACATGGAAAACCAGGGTGGCTCTGAGCAGGAGTGGGGGCTCCAGCTTGAGTTTTCAGGGGACCTCTGGGGCAGTTGGGCAAAGGCAGATGGGGTGGGAGGGGCTGGTGGCAGCCAGGCAGTGAGTCACTGCCTTTAGGTGCATCTGGTCACCAATGCCAGGACTGGCAGAATGTGCTGCTGTGGGCTGGGAAAGAGCAGGAGCCAAGTTTGACCTCCGCAGTTCCAGCTGAACTTGCTGACAAGGGGCAGTTGGCTGAGACAGGAGGGTGCGGGCCTGGGGAGTGGTGGAGTCAGGCGCTTGGCTTGGGGTGCCCATCAGGGTTCATCCAGTAGTTCAGTGCACACCTCAGCATTTAGGGGGAGGCCCAGGCTCAGGGAATAATGAGAACCAAAGGATGGGTGTGCAGGAGCAAGGAGATTCTGGGTCTGGGCTTTGCTTGGCATCACTTTATTTTTTGAGACAGTATCTTGCTGTGTTGCTCAGGCAAGACTCAAATTTGTGATCTTGCCTCAGCTCCGAGTGCTGGGATGACAGGCATGTGCCACCACACCCGGCTTCAGTTCTCCGAAGCACCTCCTCCAGCCTTGGCTCTCAGAGGCCAGCCCTTCCTCCTCTCGCCTCTCCCTCTTATGAGGGAGAAATCCTTTTCATGCCCAGAGTGACCTCCACTCACTGGCCATCCTTAGCTCAGGGTAGATCATTTGCCTGGCTGACACCTCAGCCCACAGGGTGTCCGGCTGGAGTCTGGAGCTGGCTGCTGTCACCTAGACAGTGCAGCCACCCCTTTGCAGGTAGTTCTGCACCCACTCCTCACCACGGCTCTGCCAGTGCCAAGCCCTGGGGCAGCACCAGCCTGGCCACTCAGCTGTATGGCTAGGACCTCAGGGAGGGGACAGGAGAGGACAGGAAAGGTCTGACCTGTGCAACAAAGCCTGGCTCCTGCCCTGAGTGAGCAGGGACAGTGGACAGTGTCACCTAGTAGCAGAAACTGTTGTGTTTCCTGGGTGTGGTGCCGATCCCTGGCCCTCACAGGGAAACAGACTCAGAACGTCAGAGCTGGCACCTAGTTGCCCAGCATGGCCTCCCTAGCTCTGCTGCCTGCAGCTCCCTGGCCCGGAGCCTAACTGTCCTGAGCCCAACAGAGGAGCAGAAAGGGTACAGGGCCTAAGCCTCACCTGTCTCCCACCCTCTCCCGCTCAGACCCAGGCAGGGATATCCTTGAGGACACATTCATGCCATGCCTGGCATGTGGCCAGGCTGGGCCTCCAAGCACTGTATGAAAACAGAAAGAAGCCAGGATGTGGTGGCGTAGACCTATAATCCCAGCACTCTGGAAGGCTGAGGCAGGAGGATCGAAAGTTTGAGCCCAGCCTGGCCAACTTGGCAACAGTGAGACCCTCTCTCAAAAGAGAAAATTTAAAAAGGGCTGGGATTGTAGCTCAGGGCAGAGTACTATATCAGTCCCCAGTACTCCAGCAAGAAAGAAAGGAAGTGGGTGCAGAGGACAGGCTGCCCACCTGCACAGCCCCACACATCCCCGTCTGTCCCCACAGATGAGGATGATGCCAACAGGCTGGGGGAGAAAGTGATCCTCCGTGAGCAGGTGAAGGAGCTCTTCAACGAGAAATACGGTCAGTGCCACGCCGGCCTAGGCCTCTCCAAGCCGCCCATCCTGCCCACTCGGACACTCGCCCCTTGGAAGCTCCCTTCCCCCTGAGGCCCCTGTCCCCAGCCAAGGGAACACCTGCACCTCACTGACTCCCTGTCCCCTCCAGGTGAGGCCCTGGGTCTGAACCGGCCTGTGCTGGTCCCTTACAAACTGATCCGAGACAGCCCAGACGCTGTGGAGGTCACAGGCCTGCCTGACGACATCCCTTTCCGGAACCCCAACACCTATGACATCCACCGGCTGGAGAAGATCCTGAAGGCTAGGGAACACATGCGCATAGTCATCATCAACCAGCTCCAGTGAGTGCGGCCGAGACCCTGTGGGCACGGACAGAACCTGCAAATCCAAAGTACAGGCATGGGGATTAAACCCAGCTCTGGACATCTGCCCTGAGCTGCAACCCCAGCCCTTTATTGCTTTGTGTTGTATTTTATTCCAAGATCATTTCTCTCCATATCACTAAATTGCTCAGGCTGGCCTTGAACTTGCAGTGCTCCTGCCTCAGCCTCCTGAGTAGCTGAGAATACAAATGTGTAGTGTCACATTCTGCCAGAATCCAAAACTACATCATATTAGCGCTCAACTCTTTCAGGGATCAGGACACAGCCTAGTGGTTCAGTTTCAGAGATTTTAGTCCCTGGTCCCTTGAGCCTACAGAGACACTCTACACTGGGGCAAAAGTCAGAGAGCCAAGCAGCCTGGGGTCCCAGCACCCCTGTTGAGGCCACAACCCCAATGACCTCACTTCCTCCTACCCCCACCCTTCAACACATAGGCTTTTAGGGAACATGGAGGAGTCAAACTGTACTTCACAAGCCACACATGGTGATGCTCACTTGTAATCCCAGCACTCAGAAGGCTGAAGCAGGAGGATCACTTTTAGTTCAAGGCCACACAGTGAGACTCTGTCTCAAACAAAACAAAACTGATACTCCCGTATTTGGGAGCAAGAGAAGAAAGGGAACCTCGTTTCCTCACCACCACCCTGTTTTGTTGGTTTGCAGACCTTGTACAGAAACCTCCAATGATGCCAAGGTGCCAGGTGAGTTGGTGGCTGGGCAAGCCTCTCTTCTGCCCCATGGGGACAAAAAGGAACAGGAGCCAGGCACCATGCTGCACACCTGTCCTAGCCACTTCAGAGGCTAAGGCAGGAGCCTGTGTGTTCAAACCCAACCTGGGCAACTTAGTGACAACTGTCTAAAAAAATTCTTTTAAGAGTTGGGCATGGGGGCACACACCTGCAATCCCAGCACTCAGGAGACTGTGGCAGGAGGATTGCCATGAGTTCAAGGCCAGCCTGGGCTACATAGTGAGACCCTGTCTCAAAAAAAAAAAAAAAAAAGAGAGAGAGAGAGAGAGAGAAAGAAACAAATCTGTTGTAACTCTTACATTCCTAGCAATTAAATCTAGCAACAGCAGAACCCCTGCAGGTCCTACTTCATGCAGCCTTAGCACCTACCATCTCCCAAGACTCAGGTCTCACCGTTTTCCCCGCTTGGTTCAGAGAGGTCTATACACTGTCCTGCGGTCACACAGCTGGTAAGTGGCAGCAGCGGGTTTGAAGTTAGGACTGTTGACTGAAAGGTAGTTTCTTTCCCTGGAACCCTCCCTGCCTATTGTACCTGTGATTTCAGCTCAGGGTTGTCACACAACACCAGAACCTGTATCACATGGGTTCAGTGTAAGTGTCACCAGGTGCTAGGTGGGGCACTTGGCTTCTCTATCTCATGAGACCTCATAGTAGTCCTACAGGACCTTTTTACTTTTTATTTTGGGACAGCGCCTCACTAAGTCCCTAAATTGCCCAGGCTGGGCTGGAACTTATTATAGTCTTCCTGCCTCAGCCTCCCTGAGTGCTGGGATAGCAAGCAAAGATCTTTTTCTTTTTAGGTAGTGACTCCTTGTTGCCCAGCTAGCTTTGAACTCCTGGGCATAAGCAATTCCCCTGCCTCAGCCTCCCAGGAGGGCTGGCTAGCTGGGATTACAGGTGCACACTGCCATGCCCACTTCCTGAGATACCTTAATCACACTATATTTAAGAGGAATAAAGGCCCAGGCCATGAGGGGACGGTCCCAGGACCCAGCATGCACAGTGGCAAGGCCACCTCCTTACAGGGTCCTCCTGTTGAGTGGGTATTATTGGGCATGGGAGGGCTTCAGGGTGCTGGGGAGCCGGACCCCCAGGCTGGCTGGGCCAGGAGGTTCTGAGGAGGACCTGGGCCCGCTGGGTCCCTTGGGCAGGGCACAGCACCTGCAAAGCAGACAGTTGAGTGGGCACAAGAGGAGGAGGTCCTCGGTCTGGGAAGGAACTGGGGAAGTAGGAACCCGGAACACTGGGAGGGGATTGAAACGCAGCGACAAGCCAGATGTGGGGTTGCACACCTGTGCCTCAGCACTCAGAGTCTGAGGCAGGGCGATCCCCACAAGTTCGAGAGGGGAGGCTCTGTTTCACGTCTTCCCCGGGGAGGTGGGAGACTGACCTGGCAGGCCCCCACACCCGCCCTAGCAGCCCTTTCTCCTGGCAGCTCGAGACAGCGCCCCCAAGCGCAAGAGGAAGAGAGTCTCTGAAGGCAACTCCGTGTCCTCCTCCTCCTCATCTTCCTCCTCCTCCTCCAACCCAGAGTCAGTGGCGTCTACCAACCAGATTTCACTCGTGGTAAAGCTGCCCGGATCCACCCCTCACCGCCCCTCTCCTTGCCTCCCTCGCCCGATGCCTGTCAGGGAGGCACAGGGTGCCCGGGGTGTGATGCCGCACACCTCCAGAGCTCCTCTGTTCTGCCCCCTCTCCTCACTAGGGACACACCCTGGAGAGCTCTTTCTGATTTCAAGATAGCATCTTAAAACCTGGCATCGTAGTACATGCCTGTAATCGCAACACGGTGGAAAGCTGAGGCAGGAGGATCCCAAATTTGAGCTCAACCTGGGCATTTGAGTGACTCAGTGAAGCTGTCTTAATTTTAAAAAGAGCTGGGAATGTAGCATTTAAAAAAAAAGACAGCAGCTCCAGTTTGAAATCCTGAGTCCAACTAAGAATGGTTGAAGACATATGAAAATTAATTTAGGCAAGGCAGAGACTAAAGTAGGAAGGTTTCTATGAGTTCATGACGAGCCTGAACTATATGGTGAGAGCCTGTCTCAAAACAACAACCCCCAAAAATAAAATGGTTTTCAGACTTCCGCACCCAGGGCTGTTTCCCATCCACCTTTTCCTGGAGACCCCAAAAACCCAAGCCTCCTTCTGCCTGTTGTCTGCACCCCAAGTCATCCCAGGCACCATCTGCCCTGAAGGGGAGCCCTGGGTCACACAAAGGCTCTCAGCCCACTGCAAGCTGTTTGACCTTGGAGAGACCGCATCCCTCTCTGGACCTCAGCAGGCCCAAGATAAGCAGGGTCTAAGGAAGCCCTGGGAGAAGCAGAGCGGAGTGTTGCAGCGTCCCTGGCATCCTGACTGTATGTCCCTCTCTCCAGCAGTGGCCAATGTACATGGTAGACTACACCGGCCTGAACGTGCAGCTGCCGGGACCCCTCAATTACTGGACCTCAGCGCCCAACCAGGACCTCACAGAAAGACTAAAGGAAGTATAATTTATGTACAAAGTGTATATTCGGATATGTATCAATGCCTTTTAGTTTTTCCAATGATTTTTACACTATATTCCTGTCACCAAGGCCTTTTTAAATAAGTAAAAAAAAAAGAAAAAAAAGTGAAAGCGTCGCCCACCTTCTTAACAATCCATGTTTTCTGGAACCAGGTGGCTACTGTGGTGGCGTGGGGGGGGGGGGGACAGAAGCAGGCAGGAAGGCCCTGCGAGCCCCTTCCCTGCCGGAGCAGGTGCCATGTTCCTGGCGGCTGCAAGGCGGTTGTCTAGGGACCACCTGGCACTGTAGGGGGGGCCTGAGTCCCTGTGTGGTGGGACCGACCCTGGTGCTTCCTGCCTGGCGCCCAGCCAGCGCAGGTGGGAAAGACCCAGGGAGCACAAGATATGGTGAGCACAACCCTACTGGGCCTGGACACTCGGGTGAGGTTGAGTGCCAGCCTGGCTCAAAAAAATAAATAAACCAAAAACCAAGGCAGGCGTGGTGGCACCTACCTGTAGTCCCCTCACTTGGGAGGCTGAGGCAAGAGGATCCTTGCAAGTTTGAGACCAGCCTGGGCTACAGAGTGAGCACAAGGCCGGCCTGAACTGCATAGTGAGACCCTGGCTCAAAAAAAAAGGCTGGGGCTGCAGCTCTGGGAAGGCCCTGGGTTCAGTCCCCAGTGCTGCAAAGGAAACATTTGTGAGGGGCGGGGCAGGTTTCTGGTTTCCTAGAGCAAGCGTGTTGGAGCCAGTGCGGATGGGGCACAGCTGTATCTCAGGGACCACTCAGGTGGTGGCAGTCGGAAGATGCAGGCCGGGAGGAGACTGGAGGCAGCCGGAGGAGTGGAAAAGGCAGCAGTTGCAGGGGGCTGGCAACAGCAGCCGCTGCCCGTTCACCACAAGCCAAACACTGGCTCCTTGGCGGGGGGAGGCGCCACTGGGCTGTGTCCCCACTGCAGGGCGGGTGGCACCACAGAGGGGACCTCACTGTCCTGAGGTTGGGGCTGAGTTGCAGGTCAGGGCCTGATGGGACAGTGGCAGAGAGGAGGAGGCACCTGCTTGGGACCCCATACTCAGAGAATCACAGCTTGTAGCTCAACCCAAGCCATATTGAGATCCTGTGTTAAAAAGGAAGTAACAAGGGCTGGGAATGCAGCTCAGCACAGAGGCTCCTGTCCGGGTCAAACCCCCAGAGTCATAAAACAATTTTTTTTTATTTGTGTGAGGAAGAGACAGTGGCTGAAGGTGACACAGATGGTGGGAGGGGACTCAGGCTGCAGGCTGTGCACACGGAAGGGGT